TTGTTTTGTAAAATGTACCCAAAAACAAACCGTCGTGTGTAACACGTGGGGCAAACTTTTTAAGTCACTCGTCACTCAAATGCCGTTGATGACACTTGTTGCATAGTATATTATAAACAAATAATTAACAATGAAGAACCACTTGCTTCCTTACTGCATTGATGGCGGGATTGCTTTCAGATATTTCTTATATTTGAAAACCGATTTTAGACGTTTCTAGACTGGTTCTTGATCTGCTTTGGATTCCCAGAAGAGACACGGACGAGAAACATACCATTGCGTTTGCTATACATAGAATTCTGTTGGTCTATATTGTTATTTACTTTTTCTAGGACCATAAGTTTTTTTCACACCTCATAATTTTGCTATTATAAATGGAATGCCTTATTTTCTTTTGTTCAAATAAATTGCGCTTGTCAAATTTAGTAAGGTCCGGTAATTTCAAAATTTTGATATATTTTCAGTTCAGTATCAGATAAATGACATACACTATAAGTTTTATTGCTAAAATTTATCATTTGCAATGAAAATGTACATTTGAGAGGTACCGAAGAGTGTGGCCAGGCAGTCATTCTACTGGAAGAGAATCAGAGAGATCAGCACATAGCAATACCCGATCAAGGCAGATATCGGATAACTACGCCTGTTTAAGACAACTCTTAGTGACAGGAAGATTGCTGCAGACACAGCTACAGTACTCAGAATTTTACCTATTTCGATGCCTAGCTGATTCTCATCTGAGACCAAGAAACCCAGTGGAACAAGGATACATTTTTCTAGAGAACACATCGATTGTTGATGAAGACTAGGACGGAGTTCTTTGATCAGATGAATCCACATTAGAACGTCTGTTATGTTTTGGGGAGGAATCTCTTTCGCTGCTCGTACTGCCTGGGTGAGAATTGCTGAGAATTTTATTTTTCAGCAAGATAATGCTCGACCGCATGTTGCTCAGAGTGTGCAAAATTATCATAATGAGGATGAAATTTAATCTGCGGGTTTGCCAGCAATCAGGCGTTTTCAAGCAGCAGGAATAATTTTTATAGAGGAGAAAACAGCAATAATTAATTATTAACTAAACATCTTCTTTATTAATTTAGAATAAGAATGTACTACAATAAACATGAAAACATGAAAATAGTTTTTTCGAAATATAGTAGTGGTGCGTTAATATTGCTGAATATGATTGCTGATGAACTTTTTAGATAAATTCAAAAGAATCCATTAACTGTCAAATTTTCTAGATGTCCATTTGAATTGATTGGCACTTCCATGACTACCGAAACCAAATATGTCCAGTTTTACGGAAATAGTTGATAAACTAACTCCACAAAAAACGAAAATTTCAATATTTTTCATTCTAAAAAATATTAACTCAGATCACCTGTGCTTGTCCTAGCGTATTGTCTTAAAAAACAATCTGGATTTCGTGCAGACTACAGCGGTTCAACCTTTCTTTCTGATGTAACGGTTGATATTATATTTAGGGCCAGATATTCGCTCTAATATTATTAGCTTTTTATATGGTAAATCATAAAATCTTTACATCTCTCTTACACTACATTGGTTTTAATTCACAAACCTTAAACCTTGTTCCATCTTGATGTCGTTTGTGGAGTGCCTCACTGTAACATACTAGGGCTACTGTTGAACTCAATTTATACATCTCGATTTCCTAAATCTCCAAGATTCTGCCATTAGCAAATATATGAAGAAGAAACGCAAATACATATTCAGTACAAACTACCTGAAACTGAGCATGTCAGGGACTGCATTAATATTGATTTCTTCAACCTTTTACGAGTTTTGCAAGACCGCGTTTTAAAAATAACTAGAGAAGGTGGTTGCAATTCCGATTTATATCCAGTTGGGCACAACACAACCTTTTAAGGAGTCCGTAAAATATCTCGATCTTATAATTGACCTCCAATTGAGATTTAAGGAACATATAACTTCAAAATTAAAATTATAAAAAAGCCCTAAAATTAATATTTGCACCTAGATCTGATTTACGACTCTCACGCACAGTTTTTTCACCTTTCAATTCCATCCAAAACCTACAAAATTCCTGTTTGTGCCTTATATTTGTAATAAACTTAGAGATATAAAGTGGCCAAATACGTGTGAAGATATTGAAGTACAAAAGCCTAAAAAAAACTAACCAAAACGCTAATAACTGCAGAAAAAATATTTTGACAATTCCATCACACTATTAAAATCTCTTAAGCATTCCTTTTCGTGCTGCATAGAATTTTGTATGAACATACTTAAAGTAAATGATTTATAGTCATCTCTTGCAACTTTTAAATCCAAATCAATAATGGAACTATGTAGTCAGCATTAAGGTGTTTTATAATAATGAATTTGAGCTTTCTTATTCCACGAGCATACTAAAATCCGTCTTTTTTCCTTTTTCTTCTCCGAACCTTTTTCTCTCCTTTAGTTGTAGTGAGGGTTGGTTTAAGTTATAAAACAAATTTTATAATTATATATATATAAATCAATAACAAATCTGACGAAACTATGATGGAAATGTGCAATTTATTTCATCGTTAGATAATGTTTAGTGATGAAGCTACGTTTTGTTTAAATGGTGCAGTAAATAAAGAAAGTTGTACGTATTGGAGTAGAAATAATCGCCAAAGGATAAAAGGAAATCATAGACCACATCCACAAAAAATAAATGTTTTGGTCGGGATTTTGAATAACAAATTTATTGGACCTTATGTCTTCCATCAAGATCTTTCCGGAGTCCTTACAATTTCTTCAAAATGATAGACATATTTTAATGCGGTAGAAGGGGATCAATAGAATAGAATAGAATAGAGAATAGAATTTGATGCGAAATAAGACCAAATAATGAAAATATCCTGAGTAATGTTTTGGTTAGTGTCGATATTGTCAAGAAGTTAAGTTTCAACAACTAATAAAAAAAAATCTCGGACATGTTTCTTTTTCTCGTGCTTATAAAAAGTAAGGAATAGGTATAGGATATGACATGACATGACCCACCCTATATGTTTTCTATTTTCTGCAAGATACGTGATTTTTAAATGAATTTGTTCCATATTTTAGCCGTTCACTGTATTGTATTTTCGTAGACAAGTAACAACAAATAGAACATTTTTTCAAAGCTAAACACAACAACATGGGGTCTTTCCATTTGAACGATCTTTCTCATTTCAATTTTTAATGTTATTTTTTGCCCATTATTTTATTTTTGAAATATCAATGCAGGCCACTAAAGTAGATCCTGTTACTCTATTACACTCTATTACACACCTGTAGGAAATATATACACATTTTTAAAACTGAATAACAACTTCAACTTTAAAGTTTAATGAGGTTAGTCAGGCTGACTTCTATGAAAACTGATGCTACTGGGTCTAATAATCTATCCTTACAAATGATTAGTTTTGATTATTTTTGATGGCTATTATCGCATCAGATTAATCACCATAAATATTTGCATTAGATGTTCAATATTTCCTGATTCTTAGAAAAATTTCAACGCTAAAATCTCAATTAAGACCAATTAGTATCTAACCTACTCTAACTAGAGAAAATTATACATGCACAAATGAGTGCTTCTAATTCATCAACAGAATTATCCCAGATACGTAAATCTTTTGGAACTGCCACTGCGCTTACTAAAATAACTGATGAAGTTGTCGTATTGATGGAAATAAAGTGTCCGGCCTTATTCTGGTGGATTAAAGCGGAGCTTTTGATACTAAAATTCTCTGCCAAAAGTTTTTTTTTTTTGGTTTTCGATATAGGTCCACGAAATTAATTAACTCTTACTTTGACAGAAGTCCGCAACAGGTTTCTATGATTTAGATAATTTGAGCTGCCGATTCCCAACTGCTTTATTCTGTTCAAGCAAATGAAGTATTTGATGTACCTTTAAATATTAACGAGGTCCTAAATTCACTATTCGATATATCTTCAGTTCATAACCTTAAGCATAATGAACATAAGCCAGCAGCCAGTAAGCTATGTCAAAAATCATTTTTTCTACTCCCGTCTGTAAAATACCTAATTACTCACCGATCTAGCTTGAGGGAAGCGTCACTTTACCACGTCAGTTTCGTTTCCCATGAAGCTGAGCAACTTTTTTCGGGATTTTACCGCACGGATTTGGGAGCAATCGGATGTTTTCGGAGATATTTCCCATGCTTTGAATTTTGACGTTTGTCAATTCTAACGTCACGGTCATGTCAGTGAATGTATTCGTGTTGTTTTGCGAAAATGTACCCAAAAATGAACGGTCGTAGAAAAAGTATAGTATGCAACACGTTCGGTAAACTTTTTAACTCACTCGTTTGTTAAAAACTCGCTCCGCTCATGTCAAATAAACTGATGAGTCAAATGCCGCACTTGTTGCGCATAATATATAGACATACTTTTTGTATTAAGCTTCTAAATTGAACAACAAATTGCCAGTAGAAAAAAAAAGGAAAAAAATATTTATTTTTGATAATGAGGACGATATTTTATTATAATGATGTATAATTCTGAACATCAAGAAACAGTTATAATCAAACTACTTTGTTTTATAACCTTTATGTTTAATACCTGCTGGACATAAAGCTTTTGTCAAAAGTCTACTGGTTCTACTGCTTGAATTATTTCGCTTATTTTTTCAACAGCACCTAATAAACATTTAATTATTATTAATATTAAAACAACTATAAATTGATGATGGAACGGAACATCTAATAATATACAGGGCATCCGATTAAAAATATCAAAATCGATGCTACTTTTTAGAAGAAGCGGCAACCTCGCATCGCTAAAATTATATTCGATTATAAGCCTCTAACCTATTCTGCGCGAACCACCCTGTGTATCAATAGATGGAAACGCCCAAAATATCAAATGACTCAACGGCAATTTAAAAGGCGTTGAGTTTTTCGTACAGGTTCCGCGATAACGACATTTTTCCCAATATTTACCGTTGATAAGATACTGTCGAGATTAGATTCAGACCTGAATATTGTAGAAAACTAGACGCGATTGGTAGAACATACACAGATAGTTCTATTAAACATTTCAACCCGTATTTCCAAAAAATGAAAGTATTGTAGTTTATGTTTGGTTCGAAAAGTTGCAAACATGAGGCGGTAAGTGCGTACAGTTAATTTTACGACTTAAAACAAATGTTTATCGCGCGGCTACGCCTCTGATAAATACATGCCGAGAAATTAAGCACATAAATTTAATAATCATAATCACAATAATACTAAATTTGGCTATTGGAAAAGATCTAAATATTTTCGCAATTAGCTAACACGAGAGCTACAATGATTAATAGTATGTCCTTAGTATTCCCGTTATTCGACAGTGATAAGAAAAAATCGGGTTATAAGTTAGACGAAATGTTTACTCAATAAGATTAGCAAATGCCAAAAATAAGGCTAAAATCTGTTGCTTCCACGTGGTTAAGAAAAAGAAGGCTCTTGTATTGATTAGTCGGTTCACACAAACCCCGGGGAATCTGGTATTTGTGATTTCAAAAAGGCATAACATTAATCGAAAAGGATTAAAAAAAGTAAAACATGCAAATGCCATGGAGCGTGTTCCAGGAAATATCTATCAGATCAAATCGTACAGCTACTAGATGTAGACAAGAAGTCAAGAAGCCAATACAAACAAGTTGAAAACTACGTAAAATATTAGATAAATAACATTACATTTTTTTAAACGTCTAATTAAAAAACATATTTCTGGTCATAGGTAACTTCAATATATAACTTCAATTTTCTGTTCAGTATTGAATTCCAATTATTTTGGAGGTGTTGTGCTAATCTTTAGCTTCATTGTTCGTATTGTTGTATATTTTGCAACCCTAATAAATAAATAAAATTAGTGGATAGGTTAGTGTATAAAATTTCAGTCATTATTAATTGTTGCTTTCAAGAAAAAGCATTTTCAAAGATTCTATCATTCGATATTTAATCCATTTAATCCACCAAAGGACATCTCAGCAAATGTTCCATTGTTTGCACCTATTCACGTTTACATCTAACTGTGTCCGTAAAACCCAATTTGTTAATTAGTTGTTAGGATCGGTCAAGTTTAGATTTATCCAATGTTGCCAACCCAGGTTCGAGAAGAATGATGTAGAATGATTCTATGGACTCAGCAGATGGTTGAATTGCGTTTATCAAACTTTGCCTAGATTTCAGTCATCTAGGTACAGGTGGGTGTTTCTGATCATTGAGTCGCTTGTTACGTTCTTTGGAGCTGAGGAACGAACTTCTAATATAAGGCGGAGCAATACCAGTCAATGAAAACAAAAGACCCACTATTGTGGGGTTATCTTCCCGCAGGAATCATTAAGGGGCATATCTATTTTCTTTGAATGAACATATTTTCCCCAGGCTAGACATCCATACTCGACCATAGAAAAGCAGGTGTCAGATGTTATCTTGTTGACTTTTCGCCTATGGCAGTACGCTATCTTGTGGCAAACCGTTCCTATTGTTTCGCCATTCGCTCTTTCTGTTTTGAAAGTCAACAAAAAAAAAATCTTCCATTAAAGGCTTCCATGAATTTGCGGCAATTGAACTAGTGAGAGAGCCTTTTGATAAATTGATATAAATAATTGCTCTGCACGCATCCTAAATACTTGACTAATCTTTGATGTTCTTTTGGTTGACATTTTTCAACCTGTCTTTTCGAAAGAAATTTTATCTTTTACCTATCGCAGACGTTGGAAGATTTTGAGAAGTAGAGAATCTAGTTTTGATATTATGTTTTTTTAGAATTTTTGATATTTGGTGGTGGTTTTGGTAAGGCGTTTTTTTTTTTCAAATTGACGGTTTGATATTCTGATAACGGAAATTGTTTGAGAGAAGACCGAGTTGTCGTTAAGAGAATCGGACTGAGACAGGAACTGATCCCTGCATTTAGGTATCGCTCCGATGAGCCTAGATTGGCCCAAGATTAAGTTTGGTTTCCTATTAATAATAATATCTCGAAAAGGGAGAGTGTTGTTATTCTTAAATTCTATTGTGAAATTGATGTTTGTGTGTATATGCTTTAGATAGCTTAGAAATGTTTGTTGCCGCGTGGGCAGATATCAAAAATCATCTTTATATTTCTTTCACAGTCAGACGGAACTTCGCAAAACTTAGTGTTTCAAAATGTTAGATAAAAATAGTAGCTCTGACAAGGAAAAGTGAAGAACCCAGAGCTGCTTCCGATATTTGTTAGTAAACTGTGTACACAGCCACAACATACGTAAGTTTCTTTGAAAAGAGATATAAAGATTCTATGGTTATTGATATCCATTCAATCCTTGAAATCCTTCTCATCAACACAATCAACATCTTTTATACCCTATAATAATAGTAATAATAATAAAAATAATTATTATATTTATAAAACAATGTTAGTATATTTTTATGATATTTGCAAGGTCACTTCTTGGCCCAGGAAAGTGAGATTTATTTATTTATCAAAATTAATTTTGACCCCTTCAAAGTCTCCCCAGATATAATACCCTTGTGCCAACGTTTTTTGTAATCCTCGAAGCGCTTTCTTTTATAGCCATGAGTTCTTTCAGCGAATTTTTCTTTATCTCCTCAAACCTTCTTCTTTTGATGGGTTTCTTGAGTTTTGAGAACAAGCAAAAAGTCGCAGGGGCCATATCCGGTGAATACTGTGGCTGAGGCATCATTGTGGTTTTGTTTTTGCCACAAAGTTAGACACAAACAACGATGAGTGAGCAGGTGCATTATCATGGTGCCAAATCCACGAATTGTTTTCCCATAATTCTTGACCTTTTCTTCGTATTGCTTCTCGCTAACATCAAGGTATTGCTCTTTATTGACAGTGCGACCTTGTGGTAGGAAGTCTTGATGTGTAACGCCACGAGAATCAAAGAAAACAGTGAGCAAAACATTTGATCGAAGTTGACGTGCTATTTTCGGTCTTGACGAATCTGGGTTCTTCCATTGGGATAACTGGATTTCATCTACCCATGATTCGTCACCAATTATGGCCTTTTTTTTAAAGCAGTTTCGAGACAAATTTTGCTGCTACACATTTTATGCCCAAAACTTCAGAAAAAATTGCATGGCACGAGCCAGTAGAGATGGCGGCGTCTTCAACTACTTCTCTAATAGTGATTCGACGAATTTATCGAAGATCGAATGTATGTAGCTCGCCCAATTACAAGTCACCTTACTTTTTAAACACGCCTCGTAAATAAGAACAATCGACATGACCAAAGCAAGGACCACCGGCTGGATAATCCTAGGTGTAACGACACTATTATTAAAAAGGCACTGAACAATATTCCTTTATCTTGGATGTGCCTTTCGATCTGCGTATGCTTTTCATATTTTATCTCAGCTTAAACGTTCAAAACCAGACGCAAAAGTAATGCAGTAGTAAGTACTAGGCAGTTCGTTTTCTAGAGTTCATCTAGTAGTGGCACTCCTGGTATGGATAAGCGACGCGCAGTCGCAACAAGACTCGACGAATCTACCTCTGTGCCAGTACTGCTACTGCGCGGACGACGTGGCCCCGCCCAAAGTGATCTGCATTAAAGACGTCAAAGAAGTGCTGGCTCAGCCGGACAACTGGGTCGACGCACAGACTAACCAGTCCTACCAGTACGCCGACCTGACTCTGGCGAATCAAAATTTCATCGAACTGAACTTTACGTTCCCTACGGCGAATCTGACGTACCTAAATTTGGCCAAAAACGACATTTACAGGATAACGGCGAGCGCGTTCAAAAATCTGCAACAGATGAAGACGTTGATTTTAAGCAACAACGATTTGGAACTGCTCTTGCCTGATGCGTTCAAGGTAGGTCGGTCTAATCGATGTCGGTTTAAAACTAGTCGACTAAGTTAAAGTAGTTATATCTTCGATTTCGTACTTAATCATAACCAACCGCTGGCTGCCGTTTTTCGAAACCAGTGCTTCTAAAACAAATAAGGTTTTTATTTAGGTGCCAAATGAAAAATGTTATTATTTATTAACTAAGTAATCAATAGCCTTGCTCCCAATAACCAATTAAAATCATAAAATAATTACTAACAATAAATACGTACGGTAAAACATATAATTCTACCTTAACGTTACAAATATTTTAATTTTGGCGTCAATTTTTGTGTGAAAGCTTTGAAAAGTTAATTGAAACATATATTTTGATCTAAATTAGAATTAAATTTTGTGGTAGGTGTATTAAATTTCAAATGGCTGAGAAGATTTTAGATTTTTACAATTTAGTTGGTACCATATCACTTTGTATAAAAAGAGAGTCTCTACTATTTTTCGACTTTTTTCAAGTAACGAGTATAGGGGGAAAACAGCGTTATAGCATTTTTTGAAGTAATGAAGTAAGCAAACTATTCGATAGATTTGAATGTGCAGAATTTCTAGTTGTTTTAGGAGAAGTACCCCACTATTGCATTAAAAAGTTAGATGGAATATTTGCCGCATCGGCAAAGAATTCCGTTCGAGTTTTGGTGCTTAAAGATGGTGTATTCAGTGATATTAAATGTGTTTAATTGTGTCTACTCATGTTATCTCAGAAGATAAAGTGAGAAATATCAGAAACTCTCTTGTTTCTGTTGGAAACAGGCGCTACAAGTTATCAGAAGAAACACGGACGAAAATAGACATATTTTGCAAGACACTGAGAGGAAGAAAATCCCACTACTCACTTAAGGTTTCTCAAAGTCTATATCTGCCGGAAAATTGCCTAACTTCATGTAATGTACACCACTTGAAACCGACGGAAGAAAGTGTCATATGGGTCTTTCCGTGATTTTTTCATTTAAAACTTCAATATTTCCGAAAATTTCAATGAAAAATAGGCAATTAATTTACCATAAACCAACATACTTTGTGTAGTACTATTCCTCTCCAATTGAAAAATGACAACCGAAAACGTCCAATACAACAACATATCAAAATTCATCAGTGGCCCTAGAGCTCCAGAATTTTTAAGCAGGGAAACTACCCATCAATGCTGCCAAACACAAGAGTTTAATTCACCCCACCAAATTCTTGAAAAACTCAGAAGCAAAGAATTTTCATCAAAACCTGGTAACTGGAAGAAAAAGATAGTTATTAGTACTTTTATTTGGATTTTTTGCTATTAATGTCGGACTGGTTGCTTTGAGACATATATATTTTGTTTTACCTATGCATTTAAACAAAAGTTTTTGTAGTATTTTGTTTAATTTTGTTATTATTCATGCAAGATTATTCTGGTAAACCTTAAAATCGATTTTGTTCATAATCATTGTTTATTCAATGAGGAAGTTTTTGCCCTCTACCCTTCAAGTGTAATGATGCAAAATTCATTAGAAAGCATTACATATAAATACATTTTTATATATTGCATAGAATATAGTGAATCTAATTGAACAATACTCTAGAGCACTTCTGATATTATAGTTGTGGTTGTTAAGTTCTGGAATCCATGAGAGTTCCGAATCACAAACCCTAACATTCGATGCGCTATTGAAATCTGAAATTTTCATTTCGTAATTGCATCTAATTGGGTTGAGTTTCCTCCTGAATGTCATCACATAACACTTTTTAATGTTAAAGTTGAGATGACTGCTTTCTGACCATTTCCTTATTTCGTTAATATCTTTTTGCAATAATCCACAATCTTTCCAGGATTCTATTTTCCTAAAATATTACAACCGTCGGCATAAAGTAAACCAATCGAAAAATGTAGACATCTGGGCATGTCGTTAATAAGAAGGTCAAAATGGAAAGGTCCGAGGTTCGATCCCTGTGGAACTCTATGAATGTGCGGTAAAAAGATCCGAAGCGCCCTCTCTGCAAACCATATATTGTTTTCGAACTCAGATACGACACGCTGAAACCAAGAAGCTCCTCGAAGAAACCAAACCAGGGCAGCTTCTGCAAGAGAACCTTATGACTAACTCTATCAATAGCTTTAACAAAATCGGTATATATTACGTCTACTTAAGTATTATCGTCTTAGGCTAAACTGAAATGTTGAATGAATCAAGCTAAATTCAGCAATACATGATTTAGAATTACTAAGAAATTGTTGAACTTGCATTGTCTTTATTTTTTGTTTACACAACCTTTCGGACAGATGAATCACTACCCGTTATATGATTATATGACAACGGATTCCGGATGGATAGGATTAGAACTTCCAAAAGTTCACAAACCTAATGCCACTCAGACCTATCTCCAGTTCGCAAGAATTTCGCAAGCAGCAACTTAAGTAGATTTCTCATCCAAATTGTTCAGCCACTTGCTGGAAAAACTCCTTTATTTGTAAATAACAACGAGCATTTGGTAGATATTTTAAAAAACGTCAGACGAGTTTGTAACCTTTGTCGTGGAAAATTTATACACCCACGTGCCCTTGGAGCGCTGATATATCTACAATCTGGCAACCTTAAGCAGTAGTTCTCCTGAATCATTGTCTACCACCTTCAAACAAATTCACGATTTAATGTGCTTGAGTATTTTACTGTGTAATATTATTTACAAAATTTTACAGGGTCTACAGATCAAGATCAGGATCAATATCTGCTAGGTAATCTTTTAAATTCCCATGGTGTGCACGTTTGGGTATTGGGCAAAATTTTGATACTTTCCAAGTATCCGGAGGCCTGACTAGAGACTCTCAATATCCTCTAAAGATTTCAATTTTAAATATAACTTTCCCCAAATCACGCATAGTGCTCGTGTGTTTTAGAACATTTTTATTTAAAATTTAATGAGCTGGTCACGCCCTGATGACCACTTAGTTCTTCCAAGACTGTCTTTTTTAGTAGTTCATACATTTTTAGAAATTACGCTTCTTGGCAATGAAGCTCACTAGAAAAACTCTTACTTTCAATATTAAATTGATTGACTACTTCTCCAGAAGCTTGGAGGGCTAAAGTCGATTCTAAGCATTCAAAATATGAGTATCTGCTAGTCGATAGGAGAAAGTTTTAGGCAATTTTTTTTTCGGAAAATTCATTTAGAGACCATCTAGGTACATCTTATAATTTTCTAGATTTAGTTTTATCTATTACATCTAATTACTTAACCTATTTCTTAAATGCAATTAATTTTTATTATTTCATCAAAATTTCGGTTATCCCTTTTGCAATTTGTTTAAATTGTGATGTGTGTATTGCCTGCAGTGTTTCCAAAAGCACTTTTAAAGGCCAAATAAAAAAGCTTGATTCCATTCTAAATCTTTCGATTTACCCCAAGGTATTAAATTATCTGTCAGTTATAGTAAATAATTAAAATAATAATTATAACATGACATGCTTTGTATTTAAATTAGCTTTTATGCCTACATCAATTTGAAAAGTTCAGCACACCCCTAATAAGTAGACTAAAAGATGTCAGAGATCGTTAAATAAGATAATACAAATAAAAACCCGGGTCGGGTTCTAATTATTAAATGATCCCGATCCGCTAGATTAAAAATTCAACCTAATATGTGTATTTATAAATGCTCACAGGGTAGCGAAGTGGCTTCCCATGGGTCCCCAATATTATTATAATTATTATAGAATTATAACTGTTTAGGCTAGACGGATAAATAATACGAGTCAAACATAAACATTTCAAACACCCAAAACGAAATATGAGAGAGTAGCGACCACTTAAAGCTAAGGGCGCCGACACAGCCATACTGACTAGTGTACGTCCTAGGGTCATCTAGACCTCGGATAGCTTTACCCTTACTCGTTAATCCTGACTAACTAAAAATTAAATACGTGATGCAATTCTTCGGTTATTTTTATTATTATGGTTAATCAATATATAAAAACGTTTACTACGAAACTAAAATCAGCTTACTTACAAGTTGCAATGTAATATTATTTGGCAAACCTATGAAAGCATCAAGAACATTGCAATTCAGTTCTACCACCATCATCCAGTAAAACTCTGTTTACTGAAATATTCATCTACCCGTGGGTGGGTAACGCAATGTTTGTGGGGATAATCACCTTCAGCGACACATGCCTTTCCAATATATATAGATACTCACTGTAGAGGTCATAGTCATCTTCATCTGGGAAGTTCTCTTCTCCTCTTGATATACACATACATTCCTCATTTTTTATTTTTTGATACAACATTTGTTTCACTTGGGCTCATAGAAGTTCGATTGGATTTAGTTCAAGATAGTAAGCTCACGATAGATAAATATTTTGTTGTCTGTCACTACCTTGTCGAAGCTCAATCCGTCTAGTGGAAATTCCCTTTTTGAAAAAGTATGACCTTTTCTTCTGTATATTTTGTGACATCATCTAGGATTATTACTAATTCTTTTATCATATCTAAGGCAATTCTATACTTTTAAAACAATAACTTTTTCGTTCACTGATAAGGGAGAATGTTTGCAGCTGCGGTCCATTGGAAGTATGGTCTTTATTACTGAGAGTAGTACAGATTTTACTTACCTCTCGCAAGTGAAGTGAGTAAGATGTATATATAACTCTATAGGTTTGCGTTAGCAGTAATTAATGATTACCAGTTAGTAGATAAGCTGCAAGTGTTCGGAAGCAATTTTATGGTTAATATGGATTTGCCGGTTAATTGAATAGATAAGCCCACTATCTCTATCAAACATATTACTATTATTTTATAAACAGACTTTAAGTTTCTAAAAAAAATGTAAGCATTTATGAATATCGAAACTTCAAATTATATTTTCTTTACTTCTTCACGTACGTAATACTTCAGTTTTTATAAAAACAATTTCTTTCTGTTTACGGTTCTATAGAGCTGTGCACCATAACAAAAGTTATTTACAGCAATTTTCAAATAACATTTGCAGGGTCTTTATTTAGTAGATTTCAATTTTAAATATAACTTTCCTCAAATCACGCATAGTGTTCGTGTGTTTCAGAATACTTTTATTTAAAATGTAATGAGCTGGTCAGGCCCTGATGACCACTCAGTGCTTTCCAGACTGTATTTTTTAGGCTTAATAGGCTTTATGGTAATTAAGCTCACTAGAAAAACCTTTACTTTAAATATTAAATTGAGTGACTGCTTCTCCAGAAGCTTAGAGAGCTAAAGTCGATACTTAGCATTCAAATTATAATTACCTGCTTGTCGATAGGATAAAGTTTTAGTCAATTTTTTTTTCGGTAAATTCATTTAGAAACCACCTAAGTACATGTTATAATTTTCTAGATTTAGTTGTATCTATTACATCTAATTAATTAACATATTCCTTAAACATAATTAAAAATTATTGTTTCATCAACATCTCAGTAATCCCTTTTGCAATTTGTTTAAATTGTATAACTCTAGACTTTTGCGTTAGCAGTAATTATTGATTACCAGTTAATAGATAAGCTGCAAGTGTTCGGAGACAATTTTATGGTTAATGTGGTTTTGCCGATTAATTGTCTAGCTACGTCTACCTATCTACCTCTATCAAACCTATTAGTCTGTAGCATTTATAAACAGACATTAAAGTTCATATTTTTTTTACTTCTTCACGTACGTAATACTTCAGTTTTTATAAAAGCAATTTCTTTCTGTATACGGTTCTATAGAGCTGTGCACCATAACAAAGGTGATTTTCGGCAATTTTCAAACAACATTGCAGGGTCTTTATTTGGAAGAAAGACTGCTACCGCTACGGTCATTAATAGAACTCCGGCTGGATCACAACAAACTCCATACGCTGAATATGGACCTCTTCGAGCACACCACAGACTTGGAGATTCTGGATCTGAGTTACAACCCCTTGGAGGTGATCGACAAACACACCCTCATCGCCATCGACAGTCTGATTTTTTTAAAGGTGATTGTTTGGCATTGTCTTCAAAACAGGTGAACAATAGGAAGGCATTTCAGGAACTTTACCTAGGCAACACCAATATTAAGACGTTACCAGATCAGATGTTGCACACTCCAAAGTACCTGCAGATCCTGGATCTGAGCGGCAACCCTATAGAGAAAATACCCAACACATTATCGGAAGCGCACAATTTAACCGCCTTGTACTTAAACTCGACTGGATTTAAGAATCTTACCAAAGAAAAGTAAGTCAGCTTGGACGAACCACTACAATTGCACAAATAACCAATCGGTGTTTTATTAGCGGATTCCCTCTGATGAATACGCTCAAAATCCTTCACCTTTGCCGCATGGCCGACCTGGAACGCATAGAGGGTGAATCCATGGCAGGCCTGATCAACCTCGAGGAGCTTCACATGAGCGATAACATCCGACTTAACCACATCGATCAGTTCGCGCTCGCGCAGATCAACAAGGTCACGGGGGGTACTATCTGGCCGCCCATCAAGACGGCAAGTGTCATCCTCCATATGACTTGAAACCAAACCAACCGTAGTTTTTTTACAGCTCCACTTGGCCAATAACAAGTTGGCTTATCTGGACAGCGACGTCATCGCTAGATGGGACGCGTTGACCGGTCTGGACCTGAGGTCGAATCCTTGGACGTGTGAGTGCGAAAACCAGTGGCTAATCGAAGATTTGATGCCCGTTTACTTAAAAATCGATAAAATTAGCGCGATGCAAGTGAGGTAAGTAAAATTAAGGATTCTAGAGACCCACGTTACAGTAGTTATTAATTATCAGTTAGTAGATAAGCTACAAGCGCTTGGAAAAAATAACGGCCATTTAAATACTAAGAAACTTTATATCTATTTCTATTACAACATACAATTAATTTTTGTTTATTTGTGTCACATACGATACGATAATACGAGTCCTAACAACTATATTTTTACTAAAGCCATAATAGCAAAAAACTGAAACTTGCCAAATGTCATAAATAAAGCAATCTATTAAACTAAAGTCGGCCATTAACTGTTAGTCCGAAATTACTTTTTATATCATTTGGAACAATTTAATAAGACGTAACATCATCTTTGGCTTGAATTTTGACCAAAATTTTTTTAGACGAAAACTTGGCATTTCTGTGGTTTAATTAATCCCACACTTCCTTCATTCTTCTTGTGGAACGTTTCTTAATTTCTGTTTCATTTTATGCTATGAGGTTAACCTTAACTTTAATTTCGGTACTTTTAGCATGATGCGTCCTCCAGCCGCAAAATAAATCTTACTGCTGCGCGTTTTCCAGTACTTCTTAATGCTTCTCTGCGTTAACTGTTTAGAAACTGAATATTTCCTACTCATCATTTTCCCAGAAGCACACTTTACTGTACCTTTAGGTCCTTGTGAAAAGCATTTTTTTTAATTCCTATTATTCCTATCTTTTATTCCTATAATGTATGTATCAGTAATTGCACACACACCAAATTTTGAATCATCACCAAAAATAATCTAATGTCATTGTTCCTGTGACCTTTCCAGTCGTTCTTTATAGTAAGATAACTTTCTGTTGCTCGCTTAACAAAGACTTTTCTTTCGCCTTAAATATTTAAATTCAATTTGTACCATTCGAAACAAAGTTCAAAACTGAATTAATTTAGCTTATAAAATCCAAAATACGACTTTATAATGTCACCAACTGTAGATTTTGATAAATCCCAGTCTCTGGCAATTTGAATCATTTTTCCCCCACCATACATTTTAATGATTAAATCCTTAACTTTCTTTGGAGTTGCAGCACAACTGAGCCTCCAGCCCAACTGAATTTTTATTTTTTAGTGTGGTTAAAATAATTATATATATATATATATATATATATATATATATATATATATATATATATATATATATATATATATATATATATATATATTTTATTCTCTGTCATACTAAATGCTCAAAAGTTGTTTTTATAATAATCTAAAGCAAAAATATATATTATATTAAATATATTAATAATAATAATTAATTAATAATTATTTTATATATATATATATATATATATATATATATATATATATATATATATATATATATATATATATATATATATATATATATATATATATATATATATATATATATATATATATATATATGTATATATATATATATATTAATATATTAAAAGGCAGAATATATAGCTGTTAAGGATGGTATAATAAACAATAAAAGCACTACTCATAGTTTACAGTTACGAAGTTGTACAGTTCTCATTGAGAATATCAGAGCGCTGCAAGAACAAGTTTAAACATATCAGTTCATTTTCAAATAAATATTTTCTAAAGCTTTTATATTATTTATTTTTCATATGTATAGATGAATTTTTACTAACATATTCTCGTTAGTTTTGATAATTTGGTTCAAATTAAACAAAAGATTTTTCGGTACAATAGAGGGAGGCCTATGCATGGTCATGCCTCTTTCACAGAAATTGTCTGAAGAACAAATATTAATTTTGGGTGATAACGAGAGGGCTCATAAGTTAGTGTTGAATCCAATGTCGCATAAATTGCCTATGCTGATAATAGTTAATTTATTTATTAATTAATTTAATTAATTAACATTTAATTAATTAATTTAATAAATTAACTTATGAAACAACTATGAATTAACATGAGCATGCGCGAGATTTTAAATCTCGTTTTTAACCAATGACCTTGCTGTCTGCTATCTAACCAATATGCTTAGGTCTCGCTAAATGTAGTGGGAAAGGCGTTAAGCGTGTGAAAATGGCTGTTTCATGAGAAAGTAAAGCAAAGTGCAGATTAGTGTGTGAAATGTAGACGCATGCGCGGAAAATTATTCCCTTCTCTACGAAAATATCAATGCTTCTTGCGGTGCATCAATTTTTCCCGTTAGTAGAGCCACTATATTACACAAGCCAACAATTTTTTTAACTTTTGAAAGTTGACTTCGATCTGACATTTAAATTTAAACCTGATTAGCATTTTCCTCTATCCCGTAAGGTTTTTTTAATCAACATTAAAGGAATTAATAAATGCAAATCTCGGTTGATTTAAACATTATTTTTATTGGTACAAGAACAAAAAGCGAATTTAAAAATCTAAATTAAGTAACAAAGTCTCAAACAATAGTACATTTATTTTAGCAAGATCTTGGTCGAAATATTTTAGTGGATTTTCTTGTATATTCATTCCATGGCCGGATTGTCCCTTTTTAATGACCAGCAGTAAATTGCCATCATTGCAACGTTCCATCGACCTTGTTATCTACGTTCCATTTCTTTTATATCTTGGCGGAACCTCTCATTTTGCTCCTGATTCACGACAACAAGATTTTCAGGAAAATAGACCAAATGCGAGTGTATAAAGTTTCATATTCATAATGAATTTCATTTTTCTAAATTTCTCTGACATGTTTTCTACAATGTTTTTGTAATTTGGAAATTTGTTGTCTTCTAGAAAACCTTTTCAGATTCGATTATGGTATTCAGAAAGTCTTGATTTTCCATTAATCGCCTTATTTCCTTCCTTTAATTTTTGCATCTGAAAGGAAATTTTCCACATTGGTATTTAAAACATGATCTCTCTTTATTTAAAGCTTACAGACTTACAGGCATTATCAACAACTTATGGGGCCCAAGATTTGTCTTAATTACCAATTTTGAAATAAGTTGAGTAGTATTTTTTAAACAGGGATGTAATTTTACGTCTAAAATGAATGCAAGAAACGCAAATGCGTGATAAACGCGCTTTCGTAAAGGCATCCAATGTTTTGGCTACATATTTGGGAATCCCAAGAACTATATTTGACTTTCGGGGATTACCCGCTTATATTCTGCATTATATATGCAAAATGTATGCCAGTGGCGTCGCAATTTCAATTTTTAAAAGGTTAGGCCATGTTCCTATTTTTAAAACAATAAATATGACATCTCAAAAATTAATTCAAAAATGTTGTGATAAAAGCGAAAAAACTTTGTTTTTTTATTAGTTTAATCTCTGTAACCTATAAATATATGAAAAATACCAAATTAAGAAATCTTTGTTGCTACGCTATATTTCGCTTTGTGCAATATATTTCTGAATAAAGACTAATTTTTATTATTTCTTTCTTGATGTGTTTTTTTAAGTCGATTACACGCTGCACGGAAATTGTTTTAGGTGCGCGGCACCTATCGAAATGTTGGAGTACTCATTCTACGAACTTTACACGCGACACTACAAGATGAGATGCTTAGATATGTACGGCGCAGAACCAGAGAAAGATGCGTTTTTACTCGTCGGCATTTTGGGAGGTATTTTGCGAGATTCAAACGGGCCACAACGAGTCCTTTTATATTTCTTTCCGTTTTAGGAATTCTGATAGCTATCCCGGTGATCTTGTTCGTCATGCTCGCCTATCAGAGGAGATGGTTCGGCTTTTGTACTATATTTGACAAGTCTCCGGCGTCCTACTCCAGGAGGTTTTATTCTGCCACGTCGAGCAACGACGATTACATTTAAACTGTTTTATAATGATCGTTAAGTATGTTAAATTGTATGTAAATGAATACTTATCCGCAAATATGTAGCTTTTATTGTCTAGTATTAAACTTTTTTGTTACCAATATATTCTCTTTTCCTCCTTATTGTAGTACCATATCCTCACTTGTTCTCACTAATGCCCATATGACCTGGAGCTTTATCTTTTTTTATTCTTCGAATGCCTTTCATTATCTCGTTTTTCGTAAATACCGATTATTTTTCTTCTATTGCTATTTCTTGTGTTTTCATTTTTAAACAATTCTCCACCTAGCTACTGCTTATTTTATTTTTTTATGTGTGTCATGGTTCCCGTCAAGTGCTTCGATTTTTTGGCGTCATAATTCTTTAGCTTTTGTTATTTTTCTTTTTATTAGGTTATGTATTTGTATGTGCACCTAATCATTTTTTAGTTTTATTGTCTTATTTATTCCATTAGGCAGAGCATTTTGAATGCTAGATTCTCGTACGTTCTAGTTAACTTGTTCCCATATCTTGTTAAAGGTATTTGTCATTTCTATTGTGTTCTCTTCGATCCTCCAGCGCACATCTAGTTTAACTCCTTCTTGTACAGACAGGTATTTTAATTTTCATAGATTTATTCTTGCCAGTGTTTTAGATGGTTGTGAATTTTTAGGCGTAGTTTTATGACAGAACAGTAGAGTTCGATCCAGGGTATATTTTAACTGATTTGATAGAATTCTTAAAGTTTTGATTGATGCCAATATCTTACTATAATCTGTTTGGTGTCAGCAGGTCAGCAGGATTGGCAGGGGCAATTGAAAGTGAGTATTTATTAGTACAGTTCCTTACAGAACTATACTAATGTGTTGCCTCTCTCATTGCGAATTCCAAGACCATGCTTTCCCACAATGTCCCTTTGGTTTCCTATTTTCAAATGCTTCTTGCATTCTTTCCCTTACTTAGCTATAAAATTGCCGCTTCGGGGAACAAGAGATCGAGAGATCCATAAATACACATTGACACAAACAACAAGAAACCTAAAAACTATTATGTCCAATATAAAAATCTCGATTAAAATTTATAGACGTAAGAGTACAAAAAGGTGCTTTTTGTAGAGGTGACTATTATTGAAATGAAACATAACCCCATTAAATAAATCAACAAGAAGAAGAACCATCGAACGAGCTAACGCCACTAAGATTTAACAAGGTTAGCTTGGAAAACGAAATTGCCAAATTGACCAGAAAATACAACAGCTAAAATTCAATAATAGTAATAATAATAAATAAGAGTATGTATACATTCAGCAGCAGAGGAGGAACTGGATTATCAAAAGAAGTACGGAAAACAACGAAAACCATATTGGTGGAATGAAGAGATTGAATACGAAAGAGAAAAATTGCAACCAATTTCCAAAAAAACATAAACGGCAAACTAAGGTACAAAGAATCAAAAACCAGAATACGAAGAATGATAAGCGGGATAATGGGAAAGAAGGAAGTACAAAAAGTTAGAGCCTCCTGAGAAAGACGAAAACCGAATGGAAAAAGAAGTATTCTTACCAACATCACCTCAAGAATGGAACCAATACATCTTTTTTTAACAGAATAGAAAAACATTCTGCGGACATGGAAGCAGAAGAACAAGAGAGCTATAGAGCTGGAATATCCACATTTCCGTTACGTTAACCTGAATCCTAGAAAGAAAGAGCATTTAATCAAGAAGTACAGTTCTTCAGTTTTTTTACAACAAAGTAACATTAATGTGGGAATAATAAAAGTAGTGAAACCATTATACCACGATACAGGATCTAAAATTAAACCAAATCAAACAAATGGGTCTAGAAGTCGATAACACTGAGTATTTGTCTATTGTTGGGCAACAACAAGACCAAGGAAGATGAAAATTCAGACGACACGATAAGACAGAACATAGAAATAAAATCTGACATAATCGATTATATTAGAATCAATTGGTGTGGTATAAATAAGTTCAGAGAATGCAACAACAATGAATAATAAAAAAATTCTTAAATCGGAACTAACAAGGAAAAAGCAAAAACTGAAGAGGATAAAGAAGTTCGGAAAAGGGGCATGGAAGAAGATTGGGGAGATAGAAGGAGTGTAGATTAGGAATCATAATACGTCGAACGTTATAAAGTATGTCATACCATTAACAAATCTTTTGGATTCCTCCAGTGTTGATTAATAGAACTGGCTGAACTGTTGGGTTCTTCGGAACTTAACTGAAACTGGTTTGCATTCTACTCTTATATACTCTTTGAGGAGGGACCTGCATTGTTAAAAGATAAAAACCACAGAGGCAAGTGTGGGCTTGCTTTTGGACTCATTGTCTTTGGAAGATAGTGGTGAAGTGTTTTTGCGATGGAACGCTTAATATCTCTAATGTGTGAATAATTAGAGAAAAAAGCAGTTGTTACATGTCTTAATTTTCTCTGTAAACCAGAGAGTTTATAACCGAAGACTTGCATTATGGGATCGGTCTTTATGCGTAGAGTTTCTGTATACTGAATGACCTAATGTTAGGTCCGATTTTCTATTCATAAGAATATCTAAGATTGGGAGAATATTATTAATTCCTAATCTAATAGTAAAACATGTGTTAGTGTGTATAGAGTTTAAAGGCGTTAAGAAAATCTTGGGGGGATTGTTGAACATAGGTCACAAGAGTATCATCAACGTATGTTTTCCATAATTTTGGTTTTGGATGGAAAGTGTCGAGGGCATTCTTCTTAAGAGCTTTCTTATATATGTTTGCGATCACTGACGATAACGGCGGACTCATAGCTATTCTTGACATTTGTTGATAAATTTCACCGTTACAAGTAAAAAAATTTCAAGAGAAGTATTTCTCCATTAATGATGAGAGTTTCAGGACTAGTAAGTTTAGTATATACGGACTTCACTTTGCCAACTAATCAAAATATCGTTTAGATTTAACGTAATGGTTTTTAATTGTTCAGTGATTTGAAAGGAGATAAGTACCAATCTACGTTTTCCCTGCAAGGGGTTTTAAAACAGAAGCTGCAGAATAAGTTAGAGAACCAATAGAGAAGAAGCTTTAACAACAGGTTTGAGATTGCGTTCCATAAATGTAGGATCTGTTTGACGTGTTCAGACTTAGACTAAAATTTGAAAAAATAGCTGAAACTATTACGAAACTACAGATGGCAAACTATTTATCAAAATAAATAAGAACTAAAAGTTCAGATTTTCACTAAATTATATATTTTGACCTGACAATTGTTTCGACAACACCATGTCTTTATCAAATGTAATATTTACAAACTACCTGCTATTATATATACCGAAAAATGACCATAAAACTTTAATTAATGTGAGAATTTAAGTTCAATAAAGGAAAGGTTAATCTCCATTGCTTCCAATAAATGTAATTTTCTACTTTTTGTGGCTATATGTAAAATATCAAAATTGTCGTCAAAAATGTGTTTTTCTGTGTTTAAGTATGTAGCATAATTAGAATCCAGACTATTTTTTCTAAACCCTCTTTTATGTTCGTTAATGCGTTTTTTGAAGGATCTACCTGTTTGTCCAATATAAATTTTAAGACAAGATCCGCATTTCAACCTGTAGACACCTGTTTTTTGAGATTTTTGACATTTCGTTTTATTGTTTTTCAAATATTTTCCTATTGTGTTGTTAGTTCTGAAAGCTATTTTTAAACCACATTTTGACAAATGTTTTGAAACTTTTTCACTAGGTTCTCCATTTGATAAAGACACGGTGTTGTCGAAACAATTGTCATGTCAAAATACATAATTTCGTGAAAATCTGAATTTTTAGTTCTTATTTATTTTGATAAATGGATTTTCATCAAATGAAAGCCACCTCAGCTATATCAAACTATTTCACTTTTTTCACTATTTTTCGACATATATTAAGGAAACTCTGGTCGATTTTAGATTTAGGCTGAAAATCTTTTACGCTATATCAAGCATATTTAGTGCCATCGGGAAGTTTTGTTCAAAAAATGTATCTTTAAATATGACTTCCAGAAATCATTTTCGTTTTAGTCTAAACCGCAACAAAACAGGAAGGAGCACATTTTGAATCTAAAAGCAATAAAATCAGAAATGCATTCAATCCAATCTATACCTCCAACATTCGATTTAATTTTTTTCACACACTTAGGGCATCGCTGTTTTAAAATAATGTATATAATTAATTTTGACTTTCCAGCGCAAAGCAAAATGATTTGCAACTTTTTATTTGCCCCCGAAGGTTCACATTATTGGTAAATCGATTATACAATAAAAAATATTTTTCCCGTAACAGTTTATTTTGAAGAAAATCTTTTGTAATTGCTTGAAAGGTGGTTATTATCAAGTATTGCCAGATCCAGTTTTTTTTTAGAATTTTTGGAGCAATAATTTTGATGAAATACAACTTAATGACATAGTATACTTACTTAAAGAAAAAAATGTATCTCCTAAAATAATAAGAATCATAGAAGAACTCAATTACAACTGCTGATGAGAGAAAAAGTAAAAAGTCTAACAGGATGCAAAATAGTATCTAAGGAACCAATAAGATGTGAGCTGGCGATTGAGAGAAAAATCATAAAGCAAGTAATGTCATCAAGATACTTAGGAATAGATGTAACAAGCCACCGATATATTTTCCAAGAGAGTATATAGCAAGTAAGGAAAGCAGTAGTCACAGCAGGTGCATTATGGGATATAGTGAGGAGAAATAAACATCTAGGAATTGAAACGAAAACAAGAATCTATAAAACATGTATAAAACCAATACTTACGTATGCCATAGAAACCAGAGCCAGAGCCAACTGAAATGAAAACAGGTATGAAACGAAGATATCTGGCAACAATGTAATATTCAAGATATAGTAAGATGGTGACGAGAGAGAACAAAAAATTGGAATCAACACATAACGAGAATGGAAGAGCACAGATTAGCAAAGGTCACAAGAGATGGAAAACCCGAGGGGAAAAGATCAAGAAGAAGACTACGAAAAAGATGGCAAGATAGCTGGTCATCAGAATCATAAATAAGGTTAAATATTACTATTATATGAAATATTACACAAGTAATTGGACTTACCTTAGGAACAAGAAGAAGAATAGTCCTGTACCGTACACTAATGTTAGGAATCGCTGCACATAGATCTATGCTCACTAGTTATTGTTTTAAAGTACATCATCCTATCATAGATTAATTTACATTGTTCAAAACACTTATAACAGGCAATCATAGATCTATCTTCATCGTTCACTTTTTTAACGTACATCATGGTATCATAGATTAAAATACATTGTTCGCAACATTTATAACCGACAATCATAGATCTATGCTCAATGTTTATTGTTTTAATGTACATCATCGTATCATAGATTAATGTACATTATTCGCAACATTTATAACCGGCAATCAGATCTATGCTATGTTCATTCTTTTTATATTTATTGTTGATACTATTAATAACCAGCAGTGGTAGCTTTATGCTTAGTATTTATCGAATTTACGTACAAAAATAGTAACTTAATGAGCGAGAAAACTAACCTACGAACGTTTATTGTAGAAATGACACCTGTCTTTCGCTCAAAATTAATGTTTATTGAATTGATATACTTTGTTAACTCAGTGGTCTTGACGAATTGATGCAGAGTGGAGTGTATATTTATAACTATTTATATTTACAAGTAACTTAATAAGTTGATTTTTTAGCTAAAATTTTCGTCACTGTTCAGGAGAGGGCGTTCGAAAGGTAAAACACTAGAATGATATTATTTTAAGTAATGTTAATTATACAAAATAATGCCATTCCTTAACTAAAGCTTCATCGCCATCGACAAGGTAGTTTTACCCCATAATTATAACTAAACGCTTGAGAAAGAAAAATATGCTTCCATTTGGTAGCCGCTTATCAAAAAGCCGAAACGGCCTGGGACCCCCGATCCATTTGGGGCCCATTCATACGCGAAATCGCGTAGATTAATAAAGTTAAATTCTCCGCCCCCCCGGAAAGTGTCCGGAATAATTCCCTAATCAAAACAAATCTAATAAAACTACGACGGCACAAAGGGCTAGATATGTGCGTCACCTAATAAAATCAAATCGCGGCGCGCCTTGGAAGAACGGATGAATGGTTACCGTGGTAACTTGATACACGCGGCAACAATCGAGGGGTGCCGCGCTCTCTAAGGCCACTCGATTTTACAATCCCCAATTAGAAGCCGGCGTACGGCTGTCGATTAGTGCTTGTCAGAGTAGTAATTTTGCGAATTACTGGGAAGGATAACGTTATTAGTTGACCCTAGTTCAATGTTTTGGTTTGGCTATACGCAAAGTGTGCGGGAATATATTTGATTTGGGGTGTTTGGGATATGATATACAGTGTGTCCAAGATAAGGATCCTAAGCATGACAAATTCAGAACTTGTACCTGAAAATTGTGTTCTTGGAAGCTATTTATACGCCGTTTAGAAAGTTAACAAATGACGAGAATTTGACATCACACCCTGTATATGAAATTTGCCGTTCAAAAATAGTATGCTCCGAGGAAAGTATGATCACTAACTTCAACCGTCGCACTACAGATTTGACAGGCTCGGGGACAAGTATTTACCTCAAAGCATTTTAAAAAATACTATAAAATTTTCCTTTGAACTAAAAAAAGTAGGGCGTGTGTAATTTGTAATAAAAAATGGAATCGGATGCAGGGCGTACTTTTTTATCGGCCTTATAAAAAATAAACTTGATGATAGTATTCTGCAAACAAAACGTTGAATATAAAATCTAAAAATGCCACCATGTAGTACTTTACATGAGCTAACCTGAAAGTGTTATTAGGTGTCAGATATCTTTGATATGTTTCAAAGGAAACAACTTTCTCCTAAATGAACTTCTGTATCTTCAACATATCGTGGACACACTGTGCGGAAAAGTTCTCATCGTTAATGATTTTAATTCAAAATGGGCCTTTATTAGTGATTTAAATCCGAGTTTCCTCCATTTAAGTGCTATAACATGAATAAAAAGAGTCCACTAAAGTAGAAACCCCAACAAACCCTGACGAAGATCTCAAAACTTGTTCAATATAAAAAAAAAATAAATATCTTGCTATGGTGCGGAACTCGTGGCGCCATCTCGAAGGCAGTGACAATATTACTGGTTGATTTCTAACAGTAATTCTGCAAGTTTAAAATTTCTTCGCAAGATGGGGCCAGTAGTAGTTGAATTCGTTCCATTTGTTTTCCAGACAAGTTAGTTGTTTTCGCGATTAATTGTTCGGTTAGTTTAAATCTAATTAATCCACTCACTCCCAGATTTGAAAAATGAAACAAATACTTCACAAATATGTAAACGTTGGATCTGTAAACGCCGTTGACAGTGTGACCATAGGTAGGTAAACGTTGTTTGACACGAGGGATATCGCATTTATCAAATTATTTTTATCACTTTGTGTAACCGTTGCGACAAAAATTGTGATAAGCAATGCTACGTGCTTCGATCTTTTTCTTTTTGAAATTAATGAATTATGACGATTGCCATAAAATATGACGATCCCGCTCGGTGTACTCCGCTCAAAAGTATTTGGTACGTTTCGGTAGGAAATTTTGGAATGGGCTTTTTCCGCGGCCCGACGAGACTCGCGCTGCTACATGATTACCATGACCTTACGGCTGCATGTGAAAAACAATGATAACCAGTTCTTAATAATCAAAACACGCGAGACCGGCCTCATTGCGATCTGAAAATTTGTCGGGTAGCGGTTGATTCCGGACGTCGGGAAAGATGGACCAAATCAGAGCCGGGTGGTTCAGCGAGATATCGGACCTTTGGCCGGGGCAGTGCTTCTCCCTGAAGGTGCAGGAGGTGTTGTTTCACGAGCGGTCCAAATACCAAGACGTGCTCATAGTGCAAACGTAAGTGTACTGTGTCAGTTTCGGGTTAGTTTTTAGTTCAGGGACCATCTTATTTTATTTTTTACTCCATTTTTGGCGACTTAGAAACTCATTTTAAACACGTTTTGTGTTTACCAAATCTTATCTCTAGAATATCCCGGATAAACGCAAAATAAACGGCAAAGTTCAGACATCCGGTATATTATAAAATTCCATTTCTAAACTAACCAGCAGCGGTACCAAAAATTAAATTAATTCATTAATTTAATTTTTCTATTCCCTTCTGTAACATTCCTAATTATACGACGATTTTTGGGAAGGTCCATTCAAGTTGCGCATGCGGCAGGTTTAAAATATCGCTTGTAACCAATGGCCTTGCGGAATTCAATAACCAACATGGCTGCTGACAGACCGTCAATAAGTTCGGATGTTGATTTTATTTAAAATATGCCTGGGAAGAGGAGTTAAGTGTGCGGAAATCGCTGTTTAAAAAGGAACTGGTACCTTATTAATAAGGACCGAAATCAGTAAGGTTGTGTTCTAATAGACTTACCTCAAATGTTCAAAAAACGATATGATAATTAAGAAAACAGGAAAAACCGCCTGTAACCTAAATTGACAAATAAATGAAGCCGTTCTTGGGCTTGCTGATCCCTGAATATTTTACATATTGTAAGTGTAGCGGATAAAATTGTACGAATATTAGGGGCAGTAAAAAGAAGTACCAATCAACTTAATCAAACAGGGCGCTCCTATATAACAGATTAAAACAAATTTGAAACTAGACGAAAACGGACAATATTATAGTTGCAGTACAAGAAACAACGAATTACTTTGGAATATATGTGCAAGAATCAAAAAGCGGTAAGACTCTCTAATATATGGATGTATACAAATTTACAAAAAATAATGCACAAAGTATGCTAAAGACTAAAGAACGCAAGAACAAACACTATATAAACTTGAATTTTAGTTATTTATATAATATTGAATGTTATCTATTTATTTGTGTTATTGTGTGTTTGTATGTATTGTATTGTATCTATGTTCTTAAGACCTCTATCCCAGTTAATGGTAATTGTTTAACGGTTTTAACGGTAATAAATAATAAAAAATAAATAAATAATAAAAAAAACAAAAGGGAAAGGAAATATATAATTTTTGGCTTCTCGAAACTGTTTTAATTACTTTAATTTTTCTTGATTATTTTTAGGGACGATAACAGTTATGTGAGTATTAGCTCTGGTTTAATAGTTATGGTTGATTATAGTAGTTTTCTAGTACAGAGTACTACAAAGTAGTGTACAGGGTGGTCGTAATCGGACTGTTTTAATAAGAAAAACCTATTTGTGAATTAGATAGAGCAAAATCGACTTACATGTAATGGACTCTATTTTTGAGAATCATTTAGTGGTTAAAATCGCAATTTCTATATCTTCACTACGAATTGAGGTATAGGGATTTTTCAATGCTCTTTCCTTTTGAAAATTGACAATAACTTTTTTATTTATGAAACTTTTGGATTCGGATGAAAACATTTTTATAGCAAGTTTATAAGGAAAATGCAGTGGCGTACTTAGTTTTCTATTTTTTCATAAAGGAACCCAACTTTCTTAATTTATATGGCAATCATAGTTGACTATAATCTTAAAAAATGCCAACGTCGAGCCCTTTTCAGCCATGTAGATTTGTTGGTATCTGTGATTAAAATAGGCGGCGGACGTATAGGAAATTTGCGAACCATTAAAATAATTCAATAAACTCCGCAACTTTAAAAAAGACAACGAAAATTTATAATAACTCAACTAATATTTAGCTTTAATATCTTTGATTATTTATAAAAAAAAAACTATTTTAACCTAATAAACAAAACACAATAAATATTCGAATACAAAATATTAAAATTTTAGATTAATTATATTGAAATATTTTTTTCAAATGGGCGCCGAACTCTTCAACGCACCATTTTCGTATCGTATGTCAACTAATCACGAACTCTATAGGATTGATGGAATTAAACGCTTCTCGAGTGGCTTTAATTATAGGATCTTTTAATCTCCCTCATAAGAAAAAATCTAGAGTACTTATATCACACAATCTCGCAGGTCCCAGAACAGAGCCTCTAGTTCCAATCCAACATTGTCCAAACTTTTCATTTAAAAGTTCAATACGTGCGTTTTGAGAGGGGCAACGCCTTGCTGATAATAAATAGTTCTTCCAAAAATTAATGGCACGTGTTCGAAAAAAGAAACAACACAAAATATTTATATAACCATCCGCTGTTAGATTTTAATTTAAAAAAAATAAGATCCCACAAATCTACCTCGGAAAATTCCTACCCATACATTCAATCCAAAGCGACCTTGTCTGTTGTGAAACTCTACAATATGAGTATTTTTGTAATTGGTACAATTTTCTGTTACGATATGGCTTGAATTTACGTTTTTATAAAGTACTCAAAACTTTAGTTTTTCCTGCATTTGTTGCGTCAGCTACTGACGGGGGATATGCTTCGATTTTCCAATTATATTCAATTATCCCACTTCCTGTTCTCCATTTAAGTGGGTTGGATTTTGCCTTGGCTTTTTGAAACTCCGTAATTGGTTGAAGCGGAAAGCGTCACTTTACTACGCGTTTTTTTTTTCCTTCGGACATTTTTGGGGATATTACCTCACGGCTTTGGGAGCTTTTACAACGGCTTGAATTTTGACGTTTGCCAATTCTTGCGGTCATGTCAAAATGTACTCGTGTTGTTTTGCAAAAATGTAGAAAAAGTTTAGTATGCAACATGTTTGGTAAACTTTTTTTTTATTAAACACTCGCTCCGTTTGTGCCAAATAAACTCGTGACTCAAATGCTGCTTGCCACTTGTTGCATTGTAACGTTAGAAATATTCGGTTGTCTGGTTGCTGCCGCTCTGGACATGTATTGAAATAATATATGCATATATTATGCAACAAGTGCGGTAAACGGCATTTGACTCACGAGTTTATTTGACACGAGCGGAGCGAGTGTTTAATAAACGAGCGACTTAAAAAGTTTGCCGAACGTGTTGCATACTATATATTTTCTACGACCGTTAGTTTTTGGGTGCATTTTTACAAAACAACACGAATACGTTCACTGACATGACTGTCAGAATTGACAAACGTCAAAATTCAAAGCGTGGGAAATATATTGCCATGTCTTTTCGTCACAGATACAAACAAATCTACTTGACTGAAAAGGCGTCGACATGGGCATTTTTTTAAGACCATAGCCAACTATGATTATCATTTAAAATGTTGTATTCATTTATGAGACAACGGAGAACCTTAGAAAAATCTGAATACGCCACTGCATATGCATTTTCATAAATAAAATGGTTATGGCCAACGCTCTATATCTCGGTTGGTAGTGAAAATCGGCGTGCGCTTTTTTTTTGAAAAATAAAACTGCTTTACTATTGAGCAAAATAATGTTTTATAAAGATTAACTTTTGTTCCTAAAATTAATAATAAAAGAAGAATATTTTAAAATAAATAAATTTCATTTTGCGCTCACAAAAAATAGTATACTATGCAACAAGTGCGGTAAACGGCATTTGAGTCACATGTTCATTTGGCACGAGCGCAGCGAGAGAGTGTTTAATAAACAAGTGACTTAAAAAGTTTGCCAAACCTGTTGCATACTATACTTTTTCTGCGACAGTTAGTTTTTGGTCATTTTTGTAAAACAACACGAATACATTCACTGACATGCCCGTCAGAATTGACAAACGTCAAAATTCAAGCCCTGCGGTAATATCCGAAATGGAAAACGAAACTGACGGTGTAAAATGACACTTTCCTCACGCTAGATCGGTGTATAATTGGTATTTTACAGAAGGGAGTAGAAAATATTATTTTATGCAATAAGTGCGGTAAATGGCATTTGAGTCAAATGTTCGTTTGGCATCAGCGGAGCGAGTGTTTAATAAATGAGTGATACGTATTGCATACTATACTTTTTCTACGACCTTTTATTATTTTACGTAATATTTCCGAAAACATCTCATTACTTCCAAACCCGTGCGGTAATATATATATATATATATATATATATATATATATATATATATATATATATATATATATATATATATATATATATATATATATATATATATATATATATATATTATGCTATTTTACAGAAGGGATTAGAAAAAATATGTATTATTATACGATAATTATTGAAAACTCCTGCTTTTCGTTTAGCACCAATCACGGCAGGGCTCTGATCCTGGACGGGATCATCCAGTGCACAGAATTCGACGAGTTCTCTTACCAAGAAATGATTGCGTTCCTGCCGCTCTGCGCGCACCCCCAGCCAAAGAGGGTGCTGATTGTCGGCGGAGGAGATGGCGGAGTCGCCAGGGAAGTGCAGAAGCATCCGCTCGTCCAAGAATTCGTACAGGTAAAGTCTGTTCATAGATATAAGAAAGTGACTAACTTATACGAATTAAGGAAAGACCTGCGCAAGCTGCAAGAATGAAATATGGCCGAACAGGTCCGTACTTAGAATTTAATTATTTGGGGTTTTGTTACGAAAGATACTAAACAATATTTATTTATTTATGTATTTATGTTTAAATCTAAAATAAAACTACAAATTGTTTTTATTACCTACTTAAATTACTTAAAATTATTCACATAATATATCAGTGTCACTATCGCTATCATCGCCTGTTCAAATTGTTATTTGTTCTATATTATTTGCTAAATAGAAATACGGTTGTTCTAGTTTTTCAATATGTTTAACAGAATTTGCCCAACTTTGTGGAGGGATGTTAAAAACTTCGGTTTCTATAAGTTTGAGGACATTGGAGTTAACACGGGGAAAAACATTATTACGACAAATGGCAGATTTCAGTTGGCGCCAAACATCTTCAATGGGATTAAATATACAATGGAAAGATTTTTTGCATAATTATGACAGACGTATTCCTTTTGTAGGTTCAAGCTTTGTAGAACCTCAATTAATTTCTTTTTGGTATAATATTCCTGAAAATAAATGTCGTTGTTATACATGTAGTTTTGGATTGTTGCTTTTCTGTCACATGAGGAAGGGGTTTTAGTCAACTGTCTACTGTGATAACTTAACTTAACTTAAATCTAAAACCCATGTGTTGAATACACTTCCATGAGGTAGTTTTGCCACATTTAATACCGGTTTCATCTTTTTCAAACCTCCTAATTAAGATATCTAATGTAGGCACGCTTTGTTCCTCGTATAACTGGTAAATTTTACGCCGTATTATATCTTGATCATTTTCATCTACACTCGAGAAAATGTCAGCATCGCTTCCTTTTTCCTCGCTGAAATGGGATTATTCACAATTTTCCATACAGTTGATGTTGGAATTTTCGTCAATGTGGCCGTTTCTTCTAAAGATACAGGCACCACGTTCAATGAGACTCAAATAAACATTGTTTATAATTTCCTTAGTCTCAATAGAATAGTGTTTTCTACATTTGGGCAGGAGCATCTCTTGGATAATCCCATTCAAAAGCAATTGGTCACTTTCTTATATCTATGAACAGACCATATAGTGCTTTTACAGATAATTAGGTTTTAGTATACTGTATACCATAAAACTGAATTATCATGGGTTTAACAACATGATTGAAAGTATTATAACAAGTTTCTACCACTAGCACCTAATTAACAATAATATTGTGGCAAGACAACTAAGTATGGCCAAAGAAATAGAGCCAAATTAAACTTTTAATAAAACTGCTCCATATTTTACCGAAAACATTTTGGTGAATTTTTCTGGATTTATTATACCATTTTTTGCTAAAAATAAATTAATATTAATGCAAAAACCAAAATTATAAATAAATGCGTCAAGAACAATAATACAAATTGGAAACAATACTATTTAGGTATATGTCAAAATCATTTCCTTTGCATTTTATTGCGAATTTGGAAATCTAATTTGTTTATTTCCTAAATAATTCTCATTAAAATGAGCCGTGTTATCTACTGTACAGTTGCTGAAAGAATGACAGTGCATGCATTAAAATTGCAATCAGTACATGAAAACTGTGGAGCAAGAAGAAAAACAACCTGAAGACAGCCATATTGTTCGAACTTCCAAAAACGACTCATTTAAGTCAACTAGCGATATTATAATTGAACTGGAGTTAGAAATAAGTTCAACTGCGGTTCGGAAAAGGCTTCAGAAAAGTAACCTGCATGGTAGAGCAACAAGAAAAGATCATTAAAAATCATTAAACACAGTTTAAAGTTTGTTCCAGATCATTTAAATTGGAATTAAAAAGTGGCGCAATATATACAAACTATGGAGAGATGATATAAAAATTAATTTAAAAGGTTTTAATGCCAGCCGATATGTTAGATGGCGGCCCAACCATCGAAATTGAAGTTGTGGCGAGCTTTGTCTTGGTACGTTGTAGGACTAATTTACTGGATAAAGAAGATTCTGGACCAAAATCGTTCATATTTTTCAAGACATTATGTTACCATTTGCAGAGGATCACATGCCCTTAATATGGAAGTATCAACAGGATAATGATCCAAAACATTCTTTTAGAAAAGCAAAACAGTTGGATGTTATGGATTTACTCCCGTGGCCTTCCCAATCTCCGGATCTCCATCTTTATCTTAAATATCCAAGTTGCCAAGCATAAAACATATAAGGAGCAACAATAATAATTAAATCGGCATGGGAAGCAATACCAGCAGAATTTTGATATAGGCTTATAAACTCTATGCCCAGAAGATACCATGAAGTTATTAAATATAAAGTTCGTTATATTAAGCATTAGGTATGCAAAACATGTTTGTGTGTAATTTAATTACTTTATAACTATTTGTTGATGTTGTATTGTATTTGTTTCTTGAAAGGCTCTATTTTTGTGGCCAGATATTTTTAAGAGATTTCAATTATTCATTTAGATTAATTATTTTTTTTTTCGTTAGCAATTAGATGTTTGTAATAAAATTTGTTTTGTAGCTTAAATGCGATACTAAAAGTTTATTGCCTACAAAATATGATATATTGAAATGGCTCTATTTCATTGACCAAAACTGTATATTCTCGTTTGTTCGGCTAACGAGTCACAAACATATACTTTTAAAATTTCTAAAACCTCATTTCTATCTTTATCTTTCTTCAAAAAAATTATTGCAAATCGACTCCATATATGGACCGCCTCACATAAGAAGAGGTATAGGACAAGGAGGCATAATAGCTCTAGAAGACGTTTTCAAAGAATCTAAATTGGGAATGAAGGAAAAGATAGAGAAATATGTGAACAGCACTTCAACAACCTAAGATACGCGGATGACCTCATGATAACTGATGAAAAAAGAACAGCAATAAATACTGAAAGAGCTGGACAGAGGAGCTAAAAATATAGGTCTCAACATGAGCTATACCAAAACCAAACTCATAATCAAGAAAACGAAATAGCAGAAATAAAGATGCAAGTTAGATAAATATTATCAATATGACATTCAGTCAAACATGGACAAAGTAGCGAAAGCACAAACATCAGTGAAAAGGCAAATAAAAGGTAGAAAAATCAAAATGGAAATTTGCCAGTCATACATCAGACAAAAGTACTATAAACTGGCGACCTTGGGAAATATTTCAAATATATATATATTTTATATTATTATATATTATATATAATTTTACTCCGTATTATATCTTGATCACTTTCATCTACACTCGAGAAAGTGTCAGCATCGCTTCTTTTTTTCTTCGCTGAAATGGGATTATCACAATTTTCCTTACAGTTGATGTTGAGATTTTCGTCAATGTGGCCTTTTCTTCTAAAGATGTTGGCACCACGTTCAATAAGAGTCAAATAAACATTGTTTATAACTTCCTTAGTCTCAATAGAATAGTGTTTTCTACATTTGGGCGGGAGCATCTCCTGAGATACACAAGACCCGCACATATTTTGCATAATTCGCACACGATTCAACACAGCGTATTACACACGAAATAAAAATGATTACTAATAAACTTAAACTAAGTAGTATACCAAACCCAAGAATATTAAACACAGGTAAGTATAAAATTACTTTCTATTACGGACCACAATTTCACCTGAAACTTAAGGTAACAATCTTGTTGCATTGTATGTTAATGACCACCCTTGGATAATCCCATTAAAAGGAATTGGGCCTGTCAGATAGCCTCCGCGATCTTCCGATCTCTCAATTTTGGATTTTTTTTATAGGGCTATATGCAAAATGAAGCAGAACTTCCAGACGCAATTCATTAACCTCTTCGAAATCTACGACTCATACCAATGATTCTTTCTAACGCTATTAAATAAGGATTATAAAAATATGCCAATTTTGCATTAGAGAATATGGTCGTCAATTTGAACATTAGCTTAAAAAATTTGTTTGTTTCTTTTTTTTTAATAATATCATTTTGTGTTTTGTTATATTGTGGCTTTATGCTACAAAACTGTTGTTGCAAACTTACTGTTATTATAACAATATAAAATATTTTATTATTATTCTTCGTTGGCAATATCTAGCTGTCCATTGTGTATTTATGATCTAATGACTATGAAACTAAGCGTTGATTTTGGAAAATTGTCATTTATTTGCTTGTTTCTGAGAAAAATTGCATACTGTTTTATATTTTTACAAAATTAAAAAAAACTACAAATTTTATAGTCTACTATTATCGAGATATTAAAAAAAATAAAGTAGATTTTGATAACTGTTTGACCTGGCCCTGTATATACTAATTCCGAAGGCGGAATTGAGTTCTACGGGAAATGTTATATAGAGGCAGTTTTTACATTTCGGATAAGTTATTTGATAGTTAAGATACGATGGGTGCCTAAAAATGCAATATTTTAAAGTTAGCTCTGTATCTTAAAAACTAAAAGTTCTATGAAAATGTTGTTAATGGCTTCTTTTGTTTCAAGAAATAGTAGTGCGCTATAGCGAAAACCGCAACTTTATATATATATATATATATATATATATATATATATATATATATATATATATATATATATATATATATATATATATATATATATATATATATATATATATATATATATATATATATATATTCTCACGTATTGATTCACGGATGGAAAAATGTGATGACACTATATTCCGGGATATCATCCGTTCGCTCGTTGAACTCCGATATATATATATATATATATATATATATATATATATATATATATATATATATATATATATATATATATATATATATATATATAATGTTTATAAATGATGATGACGGTTCCCTTCTGTCTTCGTCAAACCCTGGTATCGAGGATTTTTCAGGTCGAGATCGACGAAGTAGTGATCGAAGCTAGCAAAAAATACTTACCGTTCATGGCGGAGGGCTTCAGCTCCTCCAAGCTGATTCTAAAGGTTTGTGACGGCTTCGAATACATGAAAAACCACAAGAACCAATTCGATGTCATCATCACTGATTCTTCGGATCCCGTGGGACCTGCCGTCAACCTCTTCACCGAATCCTACTTCAAATTGCTGAAGGAGGCATTAAAACCAAATGGTGAGAAAGCCTTTCTACCTTTCAACACTAGTGCTGACTGACTTAGCATTGACCATTTTCATTCGTGGCCGGGATTAAAACCAAGCGATTTGCAGTAAACTATCAGTTTTTCAGCATTTTTTTAATATTGAAGGGTATTAAACGCACTTCGTGATTATATATCAATAAGGCAGAATGTGCCCATTTCTTATTGCAATTGTGGGGTATCTCGGTTATCATTAAAGATACAGTTTTTGAAGCTTTGTTTTTGGGATAGAAACAGAAAATTTGTTACACATCAGTTACACCCATTATCCCAATGGCAATATTATAGATCTTTTTACGTAGAATCTGGTGGGTATACATTTTTTTTGTATTTTTTCTTAAAAGTTAAGATACAAGCTAAAGTTGTGTTTTTTTTTTAAATCAAACCACCACATCTGATTGCTCTTCTTATAAATATTTTTTTAGCAAACATATACAGTGTGTCCAAAATGGCGATATTGGAAATTATTAGAGATAGGAAGATGATTAAATTAAAACAAAATTGCAAAATTTAAAAGGTGTAATGTTTTGAAAGGCCTCAAGAACTAGTCATCTCAGTTGATCCTCAGTCTCAAAAACTCGCTAGTAAATATAATTTTTGCAATATATCCATATGAAAATACCGAGTGGAATGAGGTTGGGCGTATCTTCTAACCGTATCCTTAATTAACCTTTAAATTTTGCTTTTCTCTGAGTTAGCCATCTTCATATCTCATGATATCCTTGTCTAGGAACGACTGTATATATTAGAAAATATGCTTGTTTTCACAATCACAATTTTATTCTAGTTATCAAATTGTTATTACTGTTATTATTGTTACTATTATTATTCGAATTACTCAAATGCTCATAACATACGAATTCCTTTTTGGGACATTTACGAGGATAATTGTCTAGAACGTAAATTGCAAGATGCAGTGGCGTACTCGATTAAAAAAATAAATAAAATGTAAGTTTTGATGTTTTAAGAATATATAGTCGTCAGGTAATATTTTTAAAAATAAGTATAAATATTTACACTTTTGATTTGCTTCCCTAAAATTCTCCAATATATTAAAAAAAATGTTTCCTGATAACATTATTGTCGCAGGGCATATATAATGCCTACTATGTTTCTTTCCGAAAAGTTCTACTTTTTTTCCTCCTTATAGGGTCTTCTGTCTATCCTGTATGATCATTTTACCTTTTTTCCTTAGTTATTGACAAAATATATGTTTATTTGGATAATTAAAATTTTTCGAAAAGTGTATAAAAAAATTATCTGTTTCAAAAAGTTATAACGGGTAACTAAAATCCTGTTGTGAGAATTATAGAAATTATGGATCTGCAAAATTACGCAACATACAGTTTCGATGTTCAACGATCTGTTTATTCAACAAGTGTTTCATCTATTTCAAATTAGATGACGCTACCTGTATTAAACAAACATTTTGAGCACTTTATTTGTTAATATAAACATTGAAAATGGCACAAAGAGTGGAAGTATTTGATTGAAAATGAAAATTTAATTTAAAACCTTAAAATATTTGCATGTTTTTATCGGATTGTGGAATCAGTTAAGACCACAGTTGAAATTTGGGTTACTAATCAGACAATTCTACTATAACGGCCTGAAACAATCGGTTTTAATAATTAATTTGCTGAAATCGTGTTAGGCCTATTAATATTTGTAGATATTGTGATTTTAATATTAAAAAGCAATAATTGAATATTGCGTACTCTGTTAAATGGTCTCCAATAATTAAAAGTCATACAAAAACTGAAACTGATTGGCAAATCGGTTTGTTTCGATCTCACACTTCGACAGGTAACGTAACCTTGTTGAACATTTTTGTGCGCGTGTCCCAACCTCTGCCGTGTTTTTCGGGCACTTTACAAACAGTAGTCCATCAATATTGAGTAGATGAATAAAGAGACTTCCAGCCCTACATAACCTCACTTTTTGGCTTCCCGGCCACGGGCCCCTTCGCCCACGGGCCCACCGCCCCCGGGTCACTCGGCCATAGGCTTTGGGCCTTCTTCTTTTTTGCCCATTGGCCACTCGGCCATGGGCCTCCTTTTTTGCGTCCTGGACGTTCGCCCATTGGCCACTCACCCTAACCCAACCAAACCGTCGTCCGTGGTGCCAACCTAACCAAACCGTTGTCCGTGATGCCAACCAAACCGTGGTCCGTGGTGCCAACCTAACCTAACCGTCGTCCGTGGTGCCAAACTAACCAAACCGTCATCGTATGGGGGACCCAAAGCCTATGGCCGAGTGGCCTGGGGGCGGGGGGCCCGTGGCCGGGAAGCCAAAAAGTGAGGTTATGTAGGGCTGGAAGTCTCTTTATTCATCTACTATATTGTTAGCTGACAAAAGTAATTTATAGCCATCCATCTGCTATAAGCAGTGAAGTTTTGATTGATATACACTCAATAAGTTATACTACATCGGAAATCACATTGGGACGACATTGGATCTAGTCCTAATCACATACGTATTCAGCAGGATATATAGATAGAAACGAGGATCCATTAATTCCAACTGATAACCATAATTCACTATTGACATTTTCTATTCGGAGTAGATCATACTAATTCTGATAGTCCTCAGAGTGATAATTTTATTACGATTTTAATTCCTCCGATTTAACACTTTTAAATGACTGTTTGAGTCAAGTAAATTAGGACGAGTCATTATCAACTCACTCAGTTGATGACACGGTTAATATTTTCTACTAGGTCTTGTATACTCTCGTGCCACGAAAGAAATTCATATGTTTGTTTTCCCCTGCGCTGAAACCGTCGACTCAAAAAAAGATGGCTTACAAAATATTTAAAAACACTGGATTAGGAAACGATCATTAGAACTTATCTCGTACAGAAATGTGGAAGAATTTTGGAATTTTGCTCAAAGTAAAAGTGGTGGGTACGAGTTAGCACTGTTGACGTTTTTCAATACTAAGCAATGTCAGCTTGGACCTGAACTGCCTGATCTTCTTGTCGAATACTTTCAGTCGGTATATGCTCATTCATTTACATTTCGGTTTCTCATTTTGCCTACCCACCTATCCAACCCCTTTCTATCATCATTACTGATTTAAAACCCATTTTTGAAACTGGAAATAAAGCAGACGTCTGCAATTACAGACCTCCAACTTTTCGAAAAGTTAGTTGATGATGATTTGAAATTTATTATCAGCTCAATAATAATTAACGAGTAGTTTGTTTTTTTTTACTATTTAAGTATCTGTCGCGTGTCTTGGGTGGGGTTGGCAAGTGCATGCTGTTTACGCCGACTTCTCCAAGGCATCCGACGAGGTCAATCATGGTGTAGGGCTCAGTAAACTAGAAGCAGCTGGTCATCCGAGAACTGTTTTCAATATAATTGTCAAGACAAATTATGTCCGTTCCAATAATGTTTCTAACCCTTCTGATCCACCCAATGATCCACCTGGGTCCGGGGTTAATATTTATTAATGATATTGTTATGTTTTACTTATGTTATTATGTTTTGCGTATCATGTGAAATGTTATAGGGCACTTTGATCTCAGGCCGATTATCTTAAACCTCAATCTTACCTCGACACAGTTACTACAGTGTGATACTCAATGCGATGAGTCTGAACATAGGAAATGCCACATGCTTCACTAAAAAACACAATATAACTCTGTTCAGCTATTGCATAAATTGCTCTTCATTTTCTTGAGTCTGGAACATCAGTGGGCTTGGAGTAATAATTTACTCCACTTTATCATTTCTTAGTTGCATAGATAGAATAGTATGCTTGGCTTCATTAAAAGAACAGCATTAAATTGCGCAAGTATTTCTGCTATTAGATACTGTTATCTAGTTAGACCTGAACAGTTTGGAACCCTCTTTATGCACGTTTATTCATAGGATCGAGCAAGTACAAAGAAAGTTTTTGAGGTATGTGGCATTTTTTCCTGTGACGGTACAGCTGTGACTTTAGAAGATATTAGGCAAATCTTAAGCTATTTTTTAAGCTCATTCATTATATGGTTAATTGTCCCATGTTGCTTTCTTCATTGATGCTATAAGTTTCATCTAGAAATATCAGATTCCTAAATGTATTTTATCAGCCCTTTAGTATCACGAATAATGGATTTAATCCGTTTATCCCAGATGTGGTATATTTTAATTACCTTGATTTTTTTGACGCCAGGTTTAATAGTTCTGTGAATTTCTTGAAACTTATATTAATATAGTCTGCAGTAATTTATTTACATAAATATTGATACTTATGTTTTATCTTTTTGTATTTAAGTTATAATGGGATAGTTGAATAGTTTATTTTAGTTGTTCTATTGATATACTATAGGTGGGGTAAAGCCCGTTACTAAATAAATAAATAAACTCATTAAAAATTGTTATGCTAACGTCTCAATTAATCTTTCTTTGCTTCCTCCATGAGGACGTCCGTGACACTTCAACCATCGTCGTAACTGAACTAATGATGATCAAGCAATTTTTCATTTACTTCTATTGGTAATAGAGTTGATGATGCCCGAAACTTTCATATTGCTTTTTAAACATGGCGGACCCGCGTGCACTGTCCAAACTATTAAAAGGATGCTTTTTGCTAGGTATAATTTGCTCCCAATCGGGAACCGTGTGGTCGGACCTGGACCAGGTCAAAGACACGTTGTCCAATTGCAAGAGGCATTTCCCTAATGTGAAGTACGCGATGTCGAGCGTGCCGACTTACCCTAACGGCCAAATAGGGTACCTGGTAGCTTCGTTGGAGGCGAGCAGGGACCTGACAAGTCCCTCCATCAGATTCGGCACAAAAGAGGTGGAAGAATATGGTCTGAGGTATTACAATGCGGACATTCACAAGGCTTCTTTCGTCTTGCCCAATTTCGTAGACAAGCTGCTGTTCTCGTAATCTAATATGTGTAATATTTATTTTTAAATAAAATTCTAAGGAGACCCAACAAGTATTTTGACGTAACATGAAAGTGATCACCCAAAAGAGTATCTCAATGTGGACAAATGAAGTCTGCATAAGATATACGAAAATCTACTTATAAGTTTGCTTTACCGCATACACAGAGTGTTTCATAAAGAGTGGGCAATTCCTCAATTGGAGACAGACCTCACGAAACTTCCACATGCTACTGTAAAACTATTCACATATGGATTAATCCTGCGTCGTTTTTTGAAGAATTGACTTTGCTGAAGTTTCGCTATTCAAATTGTTGCCTTGTTCTTCAAAGCTTAATTGAAACTGACTCACAGTCTACTCTGCATCTGCTTATATATTGTTTGAGGGGGCGGCCCTTAAGGAGGGGCATGAACCTTATCTCGTATGTCTAATGGTGAAAGATAAAGACGGACAATTATCTCCCACTCTTAGATGTTCTTATTAATGGATCATACCCAACATTGGGTCATTCTGTTTACAGAAACCTACGCACACAGACCGTTACCTTAATTACATCATGTTTACAGAGCTGTAAAACTATTTCAGCTCCAGTCACCGAATTCATACTTCAAACACCTTACATCTGATCTTCTCTCTAATAATTTGGGCATTAGGGATATTACGCGTTCCATCACAAAGTAAACCACGCCAGAACCTTCCAAAGCAATGAGTCCCACACTTGTCACTGTTGTCTTTCCTTACATTCATTACTGACCACGTATTAAAAGTTCTTAACAAATAGAACATCAAAAATGTTATTTATCTACATGGCACACAGGTATCTTTGAGGCTGAATCGACTCTGGGACTGCTATTACCGCCATCAGTGATAGTTGTCTTCTTCTTTTTCGAATTTTCCAGCGATGGGCAAATTTACTAAGGGCACTTGCCCATTACCGCGCTTAAAATTGCGGGACGTGTTTTAATGTCGACCACTGGTCCATATTGGGAACTGATATGTGGTCCGTATTATGAGAACAAGAATTTTTTTTTGGCTAAGCCGTTTAAACAAAACAAGGCAATAATTAGCTTAAATATTAGAAAAACCCGTTCGTTTAAATTATACAATAGATTTACCGAAAAATGTACATCAGACACTGATGAGAAGCACAAAACGTTGCCACCGAATGAATCTTCCCCACACCATAGAGAAAGAAACAAAAAGATAGTTGTTAAACCGAATGGAAGGAAAGAGAATAACATTCGTGCACAGCGCATCGGAACGGAGTCCGCCTCCTGCTCCGAAATTTTTTGCGATACTCGTGAATCCGCTCAATGTTACAAATAAGTGATTTTGTTTTGGCGACTTATTTGAGTCATAAGTTTAATTTGAGAATTGGAATAAAACGTCTGTGTTTTCAACTGCATCGTATATAATGGATGTATATTTTGCATTGTCTATGGAAGGTAAATAAAATTTTGCAAATATTCTCAATATTAGAAGCAAAATTCAGATTTTTTTATTAAAACATGTATAATTCAACTAGTTTACTTACGGTAAATATTTAGGTCTAATTAAAAGTGAAGTACTTCATCTATCTATGCGTTTAAAAATGAGAAAATATTCTGATGATCTACATAGAAGTTTGCGACACAAATCACAAAATAAGATGTGATACAAAGAAGTTACAGAAAATTAATCATTTATCTTAAAAATCGAACAGTTTCTATACTTAAATAAACATATTGCAAAAAAGTTTCTTTCTTAATTTTTTGTGAATTTTTGTTTTTCTTTCAATTTTAACAACTTTTATTTAGCTGTTTTTTGCTTTTTTTAAATTTTGATAATTTTCGTTTTTATTTCGAGTTTATACTACTGTTTTTTTGACCCGAGAACATTAGAAATATTATTTGTATTTTATCTTTAAAATTTTCTCTTTACTCGGACTTTTTGTTTTATGCTTTAAATATTGTTAAAAGGTTTCTGCATAAAAAATGCTTTCTTTTTTTGTGTCAGTTTTAGACAAGCGTTATTTATTTATTTATTTGTTATTTTGTTGTTTCTTGCATTTTTTCAATTTTGAAAATTTTTGTTTTTGTTTCACATTACTTTATTATACTTTTACCTTAAGGCGTTAAAAACAATATTTGTGTCTTATTTTTAAAACTTATTTTACTCTGTTTAAGTCTGTTTATCGCTTTATGTATTTTTCAACTGAAACCTTATCTTTTGGATCAACATTTTTTGAATAAATGGTAATATAAGGAAGTTCTGTACATGTTAAGTCAAAAATTTTATTTATTTAAAAAAATATGTACATATAAAAAAAAGTAATCAAAAAAATGTATTGCTTAATTTAAAATAAATTTACTTCACATTTCTTCCTATTCCACAATTTTTCCTGGAGGTTTACGATAATCTACAACCAGTACATACCATTTTTTGAATGAAAATAAAAATAAAACCAGCGGGGGTTTGTAAAAATATTACTGGGAAATATTAGGCGTACACTAAAAATTAAGATAGCCCGCGCTTATAAAACGTTGGGTCACACTGTAGTCAATAGTAGCGCTAGTAACGACTTGATGACAAAGCTAGACAATGGTTTGACAACTCTGTTTTTATTATGCAGGTATAGTGTAGCATTGCGTTGTTGCCGTTGAAAAAAATCAGGGTAGTCCATATTTCCTATAGTGCCATAGCGCTATAGACGGATTTTTCAAAAGCCTTTAACCGCACCGCGGGTAGACCACATTGTACTGAGGATGCTTGGATTTTGTGATATTCATAACGTCATATCTGCAAAACATTAATAATATAATGATGATGTGAAATTGTTTAGAATAATTCATAGCGTCGTCGATTGTGTGTCTCTGCAGAATGATTTGGAGATTATTGGTTTTGGGTGTGCTTGTAATAACCTACCCCTGAATTCAAATAAATGTTTCGTAATGACCTTTTCAAACCAAACTGATACCATAACTTTTAATTACCATCTCGATAATTTTTGTAAATGGTTTCTACCCGGCTAGGGGACTGCCACAGAGTGATTTATTACTAATGTTTAAGGTTGAATCGTAGGAGGTACCTTTCATTTCAGTTTTTATATAAACTTTGCAATTCATTAGTGGATTACCCTGAGTTGCTGAGCCAGCTGAACTTTCGTGTTCTTTCAAGGACTGTAATGCACCTAGTAATTACAAGAACCAATTTTTTGATTAAATGTCCTGTCTATTAGTTGATGAAATTATTTAATGACTTCTGTAATATTGACACTTTTTGTCTTAGTCGCTCACAGTTTACCACATTAGTTAAACGTAAATTTGAAATACTGTAGTTGTATCTTTCACTATTACTTTGCTGGTAGTTGACTACTTATTATAGTTATAGTTATAGTTCTTAAGATGAAAAATGTCTTAATCTGTTAGACACTGAAGATTATTATTATATTTAGAGAACTTACTCTAGAATATAAATAGACGTTAGCACTTAACCCCAAAGTAACACAAATGGTAAAGTCGGAATAGGCAAAGTCGGCGAAATGTCAAAATAATTTATTCGGCGAGGCGGCACAATAAAAAAGTATCAAACTAACGTAAAAAAAATCCATGGCGGTCACACGCTGTTGATGAGCTTCTCGTTTTGGTTGCCGGACTTGACAATGTCCCGCTTAGGCACCCGGGACTGCGTCCTGCGCTTCTGCGCCTCTTTGTCTTTCTTCCTGGATAGAATGTAGATGGCGCCGCTGTCCGAAAAGTAGTTGGTTATCTCGGAGAGCTTCTTTCCGTGCGTTTCCGGCACGAATATGAACACGTACGCCGACGCCAGTATCGAAATGACAGCGAAGAACCTGAACGAAATTGGTTAACTTTGACGAAACGTCGCATCTTACGTCAGTTTTTACTATCCGGGACGGAATAAATCAAAATGAAAAATTGTCTACGTCACATTATCTCACGACGTCGGAATTGGCCTAGAGCTTTTTGAATTTATTCTAAAAAACACGCGCAGCTATAGAAATATTTTTGGTGCAATATTGCAAACGTCAGTGAACTCGCTGTCGTCTGTTGTATACTTTTTTTAATGTGTTTTAATCCATTTTGTCCCAGGGGTCATAGATCATAGAATCTATGATTTTTTTTTGTTACATCCAGGGAATATTTTTGCACATCCATTTAGAAATTTTATTTTTCTACTCCCGTCTGTAAAATACCTAATTACCCACCGATCTAGCGTGCGGGAAGCGTCACTTTACCACGTCAGTTTCCTTTCCCACGAATCCGAGCCACTTCGGACATTTCCGGGATTTTACCGCACGGATCTGGGAGCAATCAGATGTTTTTCGGCGATATTTCTAACGCTTTGAATTTTGACGTTTGACGATCATGTATTCGTGTTGTTTTACGAAAATGTACCCAAAAACTAACGGTCGTAGAAAAAGTATCGTATGCAACACGTTCGGTAAACTTTTTAACTCACTGGTTTATTAAACACTCGTTCCGCCCGTGTCAAATAAACTTACTGCATTTGAAAGGAATTAAATACAAACCCATCAGTTTTACATGTAAATGATTTTAACATAGAACCTGTAAACTCCTGATATCTTTAAGGGAGTTTTGTTCTTGTCCTATGGAAGATGTTAACATATTTTTAGTCAAGTTGTAAATCAAATTTCTTAATTTCATAATCTTATTCCAACAAACTGATAATCTCAACAAACAATCATCCGATTCAATGTTCGTGTCACTCCAGTTTCTTTTAGTTCTGATTCATCAACGACCGAAGCAGAAGAAATCAACAAGATTTGTAAATAGTGTAAAGTTGTTATCCTGTGATAGACCCTCTAGTGTAACGTTTAAAAATAGTTTGTTTTAAAAAGTTTTTTTCAATTTTTTGTTTGTACAATTATTATACTGGGTGAAAGTGAGAAGTTCCAAAATTGTTAAAATTCAAGAAAAAAGTTATTGTGTATCATAAGACACGTAACACAAAAGTTTATAAATTTTAGTTGAGTTATTACGGCCCTTTTCTAATATATTTTGATGGTACCTTATTGGCGAGATTACACCTATATAAAAGCACAATGTTTTTTTTTTTTTTAATTTTAAAAGGTCTTATAAAAGTCGCCCAGAAGTGGTCCCAAAGCTGTTTATAAAATATAATAGAGAAAGATGCTAGCATTAAAATCTAAAAAAATCAGCTACCTCTCGCTGCTACCTTTTCAGAAAGAATTGATTTAATCTGACATGTACCTTAAAAATGAAAGATATTTTTATAAGTACTACGAATGAATACAAAAAATATTTTTGGCTCAATAGGTCCCTAGATTTAAACAGTTTGGACTTTTTCTTATGAGAGCATCTTAAAAGTCTGGTTTATCGCGCCCCAGTTAACACTGTAGAAGAGCTGAAGGATCGTATAAGAACTTCCTGCGATTTAATAAGAAACACTGGAGGTATACTTCAAAGAGTGCGCGACAATGTAAGGCAAAGAGGGCACTTTCAACAAGTAATCCAGTTTCTATCTCCTACTTTATTTCAAAAAGGTTGTTGTTAATGTGTTCACAGACAATTTTATTAAAAATTATGAATAGTAGGTATTGTTTTTTTTAAATAAGAATCGCTTATTATTTATCTTGTTAGTTAGCTTTGGTTGGTTTAGGACACTAGTTGGTAACTAAAAATCAGATATTTTTTTAGATGGATATTTTATATATCACCAATTTACTCAGCGCAGGGGCCACCTAATTAACCAAAATATTATTTCTTCATAGACAGACAGCGGCACGCCACTGATTTATATTAATTATTATTAATATCTTAATTGGTACTACAGGTATTAAAAAAATATATTTCATATGATCATATGCTTTTTTAAATGGTCCCAAAAATCGCCTGCTTAATTATTAATATTCAATTACAAAACACCCTGTATAATAATACCATTGTTTGGCTATAATAATATAGATTGGGCATCAGGTGCAGATTATCTAATTATATTACATGGTACCATCAAAATAATACCCTGCATATTGATCATTTAAAGTAGTACACTATCTTTATTTATGTTAGTATTCCCATTATTACTAGAATAAAGAAAAATAGTAGAATATTTTTTCCGCCCCAGATGGTAAAAACTGACTTCCGTCGTAGCCGACTTACCACTGAATACCGACGATGCCGCCCCACCAGTCCAACAGTACGTAATACATCTGCACCGACGCGAACATCAGCAAATTGGCGGCGCTGTAAGCCACCGAATGGGCGACGCCCCGTATTTCGATCGGAAACAGCTCCGCGGTCATTGTCCACGGTATGGGCAACAAGCCCACCATCGAGGTGATGACGTAGAGAAGAAGAAGCGTGGTAGGCACCCAATTTTGCGTCGACGAACCTTCAAGTATCCATTGTGTGAACAGTCCCGAGAACGCCATGCACAAACACATGCCCAGTCCGGAGACCATGAGCAGAGGTCTTCTGTAAAAAGTCCTCATCATGTACGTGTTGGCACACGACATGGAGAACCTTACGGTGCCGATGAGGGTCGACGCGAGATACGGATTTATGGAACTTCCAATTGCCTGGAAGTAACGGAATTATAGGGAGTTTAGTTATCTTAGGAGGCGGCGCGCGGTATAAGAATTTGCCCACAGACTGCAGGTTATTCATAAAAATTTCCTTTGTTGTGATGCAAATGTAGGGATTTAAGCAAGGGACCAATGGGCAGAGGTTAAAGACTCTCTACATTGGCGCAAGCAAGACATTTGTGATGTGCAATGTGTATATTGAGTAGAGTTTCTAATTTACCTAAGCTTTTGCAGCCCGTCAAGATATTTGCATCAGGTTGAAATCCCATTTCTTTTGATTATGATCTACGAATTTGCTAGTTTATCTAGGCAAAATTCAAAATTTTTACAGTAATGCTCCAGTTTACGTGTATACCAGATGGAGTTTACTTTGTCTCAAAGTACTCGTACACGCTTGACCTAACCCTGAAGATGGCGGCATTAGTTACTAAAAACTAGTGTTCTTAGTTGTGCACCTTTTGGTAGTTATTTACCAAAGTTTCAGCCATTTTCTAACTTTGCTTTTTAGTTGAGAATCGTTTGAGTGAGCCCATGTGAGTTTTTTGGTGAAAATGAAGAAAATTCAGTATACAGCTATTATAAAATATTTATTTTTGAAAGGCAATAGACCATCATTTATCACAGTAAAATTTCGGACAGAGTTTAAGCGAAAGAGATAGTGATGGAATTGTACGTGTTTGTCAGATTTTAACTCAAGCATGAAAAAGCTGTCCACTCACATCAGACCAAAAAAGTGGTCGAATGAATTTTTCCAACGCTCTGTTAAAGCAGCTTAGACGGTGTAGATGAAACTCCACCATTATACGCCCGAATCAAAAATACAGTCAAAACAATGGACAGCGAAGGGGGAATCGACTCCGAAAAAAGCAAAAACTGTTTTCCGGCTGGAAAAGTGATGGCGATAATCATATTAATCGATTACCTTCAAAAAAGGAAAAATCATTACAGGAGCATCATGACTTGAAAAACTGAGAAGAGAAATTGTGGAAAAACAATCATTTCCAAAAAAAATCTTTTTTCACCAAGACCTCATACCTGCGCTCGGAGAATAAAGATTTTCGTCGAGGGGGATGGGAGTATCGCTGGAAGAAGTATAGAGTTACAAAGAGACTATGTAGAAAAATAAGAAAAAAGTGAGAGAAAAAATGTTTTGTATCATTGTTAAGTCGGAAACTTTTCAAGTGACCCTCGTATATTCTAGAACATAGCAACAGGGACGGACTTTCAGTGTTTCAAAAAATATAAAACTTGAATATTATATTATGTTTATTTAGGTAAAATAAAATCACATTAACACTAATAGAAAATACATGATGCTTAGTTATGGTATATGTTATTTTGAATGCGAATGCAAAAATCTTAACAGGAGTATTATTAATTACATTTATAATTAAATTTATTACACCTGGACTTGGACTTCCTATCATATCTTGTTCACTATTGTTAAGATGAAATGCGAAGTTAGGTGGCAACAAAAAATAGATTGTACTACTGCTTCAAAGGTTTCTTACCGATTAATGCTTATGAAAGTAAAAGGACAGCTCGTTGACATCAAAATAATCTAATTATCTGGCCGTAGAATGGATGGCTGTGATGATGAACTGGAAAAGTTTAATTGCGATGTTGTGCTAGCACAGAAGGCCGATGACATAAATATCTTCATGAGCTATCTGAACGTGAACTCTAAGGGGGGCGTTGAAGCAGTGAAAGGTGTTATTATACACATAGAAAAGTCCCCAAGATCGAGATGGCAATATTGTCAGCAACCCGGATGCGACAGAAATTCGAACCACAACGATGAAAATAAGATGTAAAGGGATCAAAAAATCAAAAAAGACAACTAAAAAACAAATACCACAAGGAGGTTGATGGAGAACTGAATGAAACCATGCGGACGGACAGAGAGACGCTAAAGCAGGAAGGCACTGAACATCGCAAATCGCAAGAAGAGAAAACAATGAGATATTAAAACTGATGCAAGACAGACGAAGGCTAAAGAACAAAAAATAGCAAGGGTACCGAAGAATAAATCGTGTAATCCAGGCCGAAATCAAGACTGTGAAGGAGCACTACACCAGTGTAGAGAAGTTTTGAGAAAATTAAAGAATCTGCAGGTCTCTGGAGTAGCAGACAAGGAGGAAATCGAATTAGACGAAAAATTAATCTGAGAGTAATTCTTGATAGAATTGCTCGAAGACGAAAGATCTCAGGATGGGCCAGTCATCGAAATGTTAACAGAAAATTATACACCTTAGTGAAGAGAATATAAGCAAACTGACTCACATATTCAATGTAATATACGAGACCGGACATATATCCCAAGACTGTAAACCTCCACAAATAAACGTATAAATCTCTGCCTAAAACGCACAAGGCAAGGCAGTGCGAGGTTCGTAGAGAGAGGTTCAAATATTTGGAATGGAAAACATCACCCTTCACAACGTAGATAGCTGGTCAGAGAAATCAATAATCACCTCGACCATTCGAGAGAAATTAAGAGACGCAAGCTGGACAACTAGAACGACCAATAAAGGCGATATACTTTGAGACACCCTTTGTCCATTTCAAATATCGTAAAAGTCTCTGAAGTTGAACCTTTTAAGATTGGAGTTATTTGGATATTATTTTCAAACTTTGAGCATTTATAGACTTGTATGTTTTTATAAAGTAGAAACAGCTGTCATAAAGTATTAAAAACTGTGAAAATCTGAACATTTTTTGTTCTAATTTAATTTATGTTTTATAAAGTACCCTGTGGATATAACCGTCAAAGTTACTTTTTTGAAAGCCGTTGTAAAATGACTAAACCCTTACTAATCTTGCATTGTGCTACTCACTTGAAAGAACTGCACGGAGTAGAACAGCGTGATATAGATGCCGGAATACTGCTGGAAGAAGAAGAGGCCAAATAGAATGAACAGGGGCTTGTAGCCGGTCGCTTTGAGGAATTCTTTGGCGATGGTAAGGATACCGCTGCCTCGCTTGCTATCCTCCTCGAGTTTGATTTGGTGCTCTTTTTGGAGGAGAGCCAGCTGGAGTTCGGCTAGCGTTTCCGTCTGAAATAAAAATTTTGAGTTTGCGTAAGCATGAGCTTTGCGTCGCGCTCACTCTATGTTCCGGCTGAGGCTGATACTTGTTGAAGTACCTTAGAGATTTAGCCGCTTCCTCGATCTTACCCTTGGCCACCAACCAAGGTGGACTTTCTGGCACGAAGACTTGGATCAGAATAAGAGGAAGTATCGAGTAGCCTAGAGACATCCAGGCAACCAATCTCCAGTTGAGAAACCAGCCTTTTAAGAATGCCAGGACCATACCTGATGATTAAGTAATAGTTGTGTTCTCATTGCCTATACCACCATCTAAAACAATATTTTATCCTTACCTAAAGATGCAAGAGCTGGTCCAAATGATACTAGCGATCCTCGCACATCAACTCTGGCGATCTCCGTTATATACACAACGGCAGGGCTCGTACCCCAAGCTGAAAGAAATAATCTGTAGGGTTTTCACTATGTATTGGTAATGTAATTAGATAATATTGAAAATATTCCAGGCAACTTATCAGTTAGGGAAAAACGAATCTTTCTTAGCTAGAATCCACCGCCCTCACAGTTTTTTTAAATGTTACTGTTTTTAGAATAAAGATCTAACTTTCTTTTTTTATTATTTGATTGTACTTTCTACTTTTTTTATAAGCTGCACAAAAATATGAAACGTTGTTCAAAATCCCAACTTTCATAATTCCTTTGGCATCGAAACCAAATCAATAAATGAATATTAAGATTCAAAACAGCTTATTATGCAATGCCGTAAAATAAAAATAAATAAAATTTTGCCTCAAACAACATGAAAAATTTGAAATCAGGGCAATTAGTTCATTGTATCATATATTCCAGTAATTTCGTATAACATTTTTGTTATGATAATTTTGACGTGGGAAACTTTTTTACCCACTTTTTAAGTAAACCTGAACCATGAAAAGTATGTTGGTTAAACCAAACCGAAGTAATAATTATTTAAACACTATTTTGCCTGTAAAACAGACTTATCTATACCCTACCTATGAAATTATCAATAATCACAAATATTTTGGTATAAATCTGTTATTCACTTTTTTTCAAATATTTTGACGTCTAATTAACATTAATGATTCCACCTCCGTTGGTTGTTTATAAATGAAACTTGTTTACGTTTCGCCAATAATCCTGTTGGCTTCTTCGGAGCTTCAGGAAGTTTGATCCAGAAGATTTGTAAATAGCCTAGTTTCTGTGAAAAATGAAGTTATTGTATAGTAATTGGCTAAGCGATAATGCACAGCTTACATGGGAAGTATGGAAAGTTTCCTTCTTATTGCTAAGAATGTGGTATGAGAGGAGTCGAGAGGAAGCATGAGAGTAAATTTTCATAAACTAAAAAGAAGCAAGAGAACGCTTATGTGGCTGAAAGTGACAGCAGTGAAGAAGAGGTAACATTTTTATCTGAAGGAACAGTTTAAAGCAATAATGCAATAAGCATGACCACGTCAGAAAGAGCGATCAAGTTTATAAACAAAGGGAAATAAAAATTAACCTCTGTAATATATTGAAAGTTGTATTGCACATATGTATTGGTTTGAGTTAATATATAAAACTTGTAGGGTAGAAGTAGTTATGAATTTAGAGTGTTGAAGAGTTAGTTTAGAATGTTATAGGCAATATTTTATAGAAATCTTACACCTAAGGTTGGCATGTAAGTATTCCGTTCGGAGTCAAACGCCTTTTTTACTAATTCGTTATTTATGTAGTTTCCACAGCCTCTAACATATAAAACTACGAAGAAATCCCATGGTGCTTCGCTATGGTGCAAGAATGTATCCAAATTCTTTAGAGCCCTTTGGAACCCATTGCGAACACTCGTTACTAACTATGACTTGATTCATTATTACAAAAAACAATTAAGAAAATTTAATAATTATTCGATAATTCTGAGTACAGTTAATAAAGTGGCCGTGTTTGGTGGATAAGTGATTTTTTTTTCTGAACAGCCTTACATGTAACACAAAAATCCGCATTATCATTTGAATGGCATGCACTTTTACACATCTACTCTTGATGACTCATACATGGCCGCTTCCAGAGTCGGAGCTGCCTTACGGCCACCGTATTGTTTAATAGCTATTTCGTTTCATATTTCGCCGTTTTACGTCGACCGGTTAATAAAGAAAATTGACTTCCCCAGCGGCCAATTTCCTAATCGTGACAAAGGTTCCGGGTAAACGCTTTCCTTTCAAGAAAATTAACCCAAATAAGGAATGGCGTGAAAAATTAATCGAGATCGATCGACGACGTCACGGAAAATTCCCAATTGAAAATAATTGAAAGCAAATGGTTCTATCGAACTACGTACGAAACGGAGATCGACTTACACGATGCCAATCCGGTGAATATCCTGCCGACTATCAGCATAGGAACATTCTGGGCCATCGCTATGGCGACCCACCCTATTACGCTCGGTACCACGGCCAACTTCAACGTATTCAGTCTTCCGAACGTGTCCATCAGGAATCCCCCGGTTATCCCGCCTATCGGCGCCACTATCACAATAGTGCTAGCTAGAAAACGTAATGCACACTCAGCAAAAAGGGCGAAAAGGTCACTCGATTGTAGCTAACCTATCCATGAGCTTTCCGCTTTAGTCACAGCGATTCCGCTCGATGTGTCGTTCAGCTGGGGTATCAGAATGCCAGAATAAGCCAGGCTTATACCTACTACTACGTGGAACGACGCTGCTATTAGCGCCGCTAATACCTAAACATTAAAATGAAATAGTATTATTACAAAATCATTTTTCATTTATTTTATGTTAATTTATATGTCATATTTCTTGAGAATTTTAATAAATGTGAACAAGTGATTTATGGTATCAAAAGCTCTTGATAAATACCACTATAATTTATCATTTATCGATGATATCACAGATAAACTGTACAAGCTGAGTGGTAGCAGTTTCAATGATGAATTCCAGGCGAAAGCCATGTCGCCAATTTGTAAGTAAATTTTCATGATCTAGATCTAGATCTCTTTCGAAAATCTTCTAAATAGGTAATTATCTATCATACCAGAAAATATTTTTTTTAAACCGGTGTAATTTTTTATTTTTGTAAGTCGTTCGGAAAATTACAAATTCGAGGAATTTATTTATTAAGATATGATGAAAGAATATAGATTTTTTCATTAATTTGATTAGGATTTCATCCAATGCGGTTGATGTTTTAGTTTTTGGAGAAAGAAATATCGTTTTTGTTGATGTTATATGTTGATTTTCAGGTAATGAATAATTTATGTTGTTTGAAAACAATCTACGTCTACAATCTACAAGATTAGTGACGAAAAAATGAGGCGCTAGAACCACGAAGAACTATTGAAAAGTATAACTTATAATTAAAGTATGGGAAATTTCATGTAGCTCGGTTATGTTTTTTAATAATATGAATGAGCTTTCTCATCTGACAGGTCAACGCAATTAAGTAACAAAAATACCAAATGGATGCCAATAAATAACATATCAAAAAGTAATCTAAATAAAAGCCAACACATACAGGAGAATATAAAAGAAAAAATCAAAACCAAAAAAATAACGGTACCTCTAAAATAATTTCGAATCGTCTAGCTATTTTAATCAAAGCATCCAAAAATTTAAAAAATTTCCTTTAAACTTTAAACAAACTTTTTGATATCACCCAACTAAATTATTTTTCCAAAAGATTTCTGCTATCGACATTTTCTTTTGTATATTTTTATTACCAAACTGTAAACTTTAAGAAAAAAATGATTTCTTAAAATTTAGCTAGTAAGAATTATAAGAATTAGAATGATAGTCTAATTTAATCCCCTCCACTCATTAAAAAAATAAATAAAAAAATCAGCAGAAAGCGCGTTTTTATTTTAGTAATGGTAATTAGTAAAATCATGTTTTTTAACGATAAAAAATAAAAACATTGTTTTTTTCTGGCATGTTTGTAAGGCGATATCTAGCTAACGTTTGACTTTTGACCTAAAGTTTATATAGCCAACCTTTATCTTATTTATTTCTTTTTATTATTCAATTATTTGTTATTTATTTTAAACCAGGAATCACTCCCTCAAGTTGTTTACATTTGTTTTGACACAACCTATATTTATAAAAAAAAACAGTTTATATTAATGTATGAGTTTTCTTTACCATCGAAACTGCTTCGAATATTTTGTTTTTTTTTTTTTGTGAAAATTATTTTTTTACTTTCGCCAGTAGTGGAGAAAGCACGATACTGAATATTTTTTATCGAAAAACATAACCCGCCACCGTTGACGACCCAAAGTGAACTGTGGTTTGAAAAATGCAATTTATTTTTGAAAAAAATATTTTTTCAATAAAAAATATTCAGTATCGTGTTTATCCCGACGCCACTGGTGAAAGTAGTAAAATAATTTTCCACAAAAAACAAGTTGTGGACGTCTACCAAACCATCAACAAAATATATAAAGCAATGTCAATGAAAATCAGGAAAAAATATTAAACTTATCAGTGTGTCCAAGAGGTGTGGAGATGTTGGAAATCGTAAGAAATGCGAAGATGGTTAAATTAGAAAAAAGTTGTAAAATTTAAAGTACCTCTAGGCCAGATTTCCGGAAAATGGCTTTGTAGCCCCCTTGACCTCACTCCACTCAATTTTTTTATATGGAGATATTGAAAAAATTATATTTATCACGGAGTTTGTGCGACTGATGGTCTACTGAAGTTTTTGAAGCCTTTGAAAACATTACAACCGATATAATTAGTTTGAAATTCGACAGTTACTACAAGGTGTTATCTATGTTTGGAACATAATGATCACTTGTTTAAACATTCTTTATGATTTAATTGTTTTTGTAGTAAGTTCTTTTAAAGTAATTTGTTTATTGAATTAACATGCGACGTGATCTACCTATTTAGCTATCATTTCATTTTTTATCATGTCAGCGCCTACTACACCAAAACATTGACAATTTAATAAAACTATTTAGAATCATATCGTGTTGTACGTGTGTGTATTTGTATTGTATTGTGTATTTGTAAAATGTAACTTAATACATGTAGTTTTTCCACGGACCATGTGAAAATATAAAATTTCAAAAATATATCAAAAATATATAAAATAAAATGATCCTGTATTTTTTTTTATCTCCTTAAATGACAGCGGGAAATAAATATAAACGCAATCGGCAAATTTAGGTTTTTTGTCGGACTTCTGGAAGTGATGGGAATTTCTTAGTTTTCTTTATAACCCATAAATTTTTAACTTTTTTCAATATCTCCATGATCGACATCTTTGGACTCACTGTATACCTACCAATGAACTAGAATTCGAATTTTGAAATGTTTTGTGCTTCGGTTTATAATTTTATTGATAAATGCTGCACCATATTTACATTCTAGAAGTAACTGTATCAAAAAATTCGATCCAGTGCAGTCACACAGCAATGTATAGCAGAATCAAAACAACTCCCAAAGCGTAAAATTTTCAAATCCGGATCTGGTCTTTTCAAATATTTTCGGTGGTTCTTATCTTACGGGAAAGACTAAATTTTTGCCGCCGAGTTGCGCGCGTTTGTATCGAAAACGTGACCTTGGCGGTCTAGACAACTTTTACTTGTTTATTTAGAAAATTGCATACAATACATCCCGTCGTGAATCTGAGTAGTATCGTTGCCCTATTCTGTGCTATTTTTTCTACTACTACCATTACTACTTCTACTAAACAGATGTGGATTTTTCTTATCCGTCTGTGTGCATGACTTCATACCCTGGTACATTACTTTTTTAAAAGACCATATTTTCGTTATAAATTGCCAGTTTTCAACGGTGTTCTTATTTTAATAATAATAATAATTATAATATTAATCGGTTTATGGCAAGTCATCAACGTTTATTGAAAACTAGCCGACAAGATGCAGGAAATTGATCAAATCACAAAGCTGCCATGCCAGTCAGTCATGTTCAATATGTATTTCACAACATAATCCAAATACACATCCAGAAAACTTGAAGGTAACATTATCAATTCAAAACAACAAATCAACAAAAACTACAAAAAACAACTCTGTGTAAAAGTTGGTTCTATTGTAATTAATACATTAGTTGATGGTTACTGTCATCAAAACACGCATGCAAATTGACAATTGATGAAACTGACAATTATAAATAGTGTACAGTAAGGGTCTCAGGATACTACCTTGAGGTATACCGGATTTAATGTCCATGCTATTTGAATGCGTTTAATTAATAAGCACCTGCTAAGCTCATTAAATTTTAGTATAGAAAGCAAAAGATGATGGTTGAATATGTTAAACGCTCTAAAATCCAGGCGCAAAAAAGTTTTCTCTCTCTCAGAAATTTCCAAAGGCAACTGTACTATTTATAAATATTCTGGATTAATTAATTAATGACTTTTGATGTGTGGTCAGCGATACTTTGAATGTAAGGAAGGACAACAGTGGCAAGTTTGGGATTGCTTTCGGAGTTATTGTCTTTGGAAAGTTGTGGTGAAGTGTAGTTTGTGATGGACCGCATAATATATCTAATGTGGAAATTATTAGAGAAAAGAGCAGAGGTAAGGTTGAGGTAAGACTCGGGTTGAGATAGTTTTAGGGCTTTGTAAACAAGAGAGTTGATAAGCGATGACTTTTGGGCCGGATTTTTGGACCGGTGATGTGGCAATGCATTAAGGTATCGATCTGTGTAAATTGTAAACAGAATAACCCATGTTAGGTCTGATTTTCAATTGATAAGAATATCTAAGAATAGGAGATTATTATTAGGTAACAACAAACCCAACATTCTTTCCATCAGTCCAACAGGATGACAGACGAAAAATTATCAAGTTCGATTCATCAACAACTGATGGAGGAGGAATGCAGAAGATTTGCTTTTCAAGTAATATTTCATTTTTGTTGACAAAAGTGCTTAATTGAAGTTCTATGACTTTTTCTAGAATGATGACTGAACGAAGATGCCCAGATTCAGTTCAAAGGGAAAGAATTTCGAAATAAATAAGAACTAAAAGTTCAGATTTTCACGAAATTATATATTTTGACATGACAATTGTTTCGACAACACTGTGTCTTTATCAAATGTTTGATAAAGACACGGTGTTGTCGAAACAATTTTCATTTCAAAATATATAATTTCGTGAAAATCTGAACTTTTAGTTCTTATTTATTTTGATAAATGGATTTTCATCAAGTAAAAGCTGCCTCAGTTCAATTTTTGAAAGAATTTCGGCTTAATTCCAGATGAGTCAAAAGTAAGCAGATAAGATACATTCATTAATGATACATGTTATATGGGGCACTATTACTAAGCAGCACAATGCAATGAGGGTAATATTAATTTTATCCACCCCAAATGCTTTAGTTTTAATATTTTTTATGACGTTCTGTCACCAAGGTACAATTAAAATGCTGAGTAATATTTTCTAAAATACTGTTATTATAATATTAGAAAAGTTCTGCCCTTCCGGCCTTATTAAGCGCATTTTAACAAGTAAAATAATTATTCAGAGTGTCAGCGTTCTTTAAGCTGTCTGAAATAGCCTTTATTTCATTTAAAATCACTGCATTGTTTCTTGTAATCTTAGAAAGACCGCCATCCAATCATTTTTCGGACCTTCAGAGATATTTTAATTAACTTATACTCTTGTGATAATATAAACATATACGTAAACTTTTTTACAAATAATATCAATTATTTATTTGATATTAATGCTTCATTAAAAATAGTTAGCATTAGAAGACCGCCAGCCCCTTAGCTAACCGAAAACCTTAAACTTTTAATAAAACTTAAAAACATCTCACGTCTAAGATACAAACATTTTAGTCAGATCTATTGCGTACAGAGTACAGAGAATTAAAGAGTTTCGTGAACTCCTGTGTGACAGCCGAGAAAAAGGCATATTTGGCAAGTACATTTAGGGCTGATCCTAAAAATTTTTGGGGTACTTTGAGGATACCTCATGTAATCTTACTTCAATGCCTGAAAACAGTTTAGGTCAACCTAAGAGTTGCTGTGTTACTTTTTTGTGGTATTGTATTTGTCTGCAAATTATGGTAATAAACCATTTGGTCCTAATTCATTCTGTTTTGTAAAAGTTTTCTAGGGAGAAGTAAGTAAAACTTTGATTGGTATTAAAAGTAACGCGCAAGATTCACACGATATCGATATCGGATATTTGGTATTTAATCACTTTCCTTTTCTTTCGTTGTTAAACAGTGTCTTCTATCTGTGGTATTACCAGTTATACTAATTACAAAGAAAGTGTGTGTCCAATCATTGTTAATGATTTATGGCCAATGAGTTTGCTGTCCATCACAAATTGCAACTGAACGAACTCTTAAAAAAAATCATTCTCCGAGACACCAAAAGGGTGTTCCTCAGGGGAGTATTCTGGGACCAGTTGTATTCTGAATTTATATTTTTTTTATACATCAATACGCTCATGATGTTCGCTTATATTCTATTTTTTGTTACTAAAGAAGCTTTAAATGATACTACTAAGATAAATTTGGATTTAAACATATTTTCGCATTCGTCTGCACTCATGATTTCTTATTGAATTCCACCATAATATAGATGTGATTACTTGAAAATAAAAGAGAGGAAATTATGCTTATATCTTCTTCTTCAGACGGTTGTAAAAATTTAGGATTTTGGTTTGACGGTGACTTGCGGTTTTCTCTATTCATCAAAAGGAAGGAAGTCAAACTAAAACTTTATTATATGTTAGTTTTAGCCCATGCCGCTCATTGCTTCAGAATGTTTGTATTAGTTTTCGTATGTAAGTATGACCATATTTCCAGACCATATTCGGGTTGACTCAAGCTGGACGACCGTTTTGAAGAGCCGTCATACTTCGATGATAAACTATGCAGAGGAAGTGAGACACCCGCCATTGTTTGAGGCATTGTGTTACTAGACACACTTCGCTAGCTTTTCAGAGATCATTTAAATAGCAGTTAAAATATTTAGGGAAATACCGTGTGCGCATCCCCTCCAACGCCCTATACTCACTTGCGGGCATAAGGTTTTAAAAGTTCTACCGTCGTAGCGACTTAGAGATCTGATGCTCGTGATGGCTTCGCTGAATTGTTCCTCTTGGCGTTGCTGTTCTTCGAGTTTGGCCCTTTGCGAGTCTTCGAGACTGAAACCAAACGACCACGATGTCATTCGCGAGACTAAAGATGGACAAAAGTCTCGTTACTCACCGAAAGTACATATCTCTCTATATCGTATGCGTTTGCAACCGGATAAATTGTGCATTTAAATACCTTCGCAAAGTAAATAGTTTAGGAGTAAACCTACTGCATATATTTGTAAAACTGTTAAGCGCATTTTCGATTTTTTTGCTTTTTCACTAACTCGATGGGTCCGCCATTGTTCTGGTGTGTCTGTGGCGTACATTGCCTAGTAAGCCCACGCGATTGCATCATTCTACGGACGGATCCGTGAAATGTCAACATTAAATAGAAGATGATTTTTAAAATTTCCTGTTTTTCTTGTGTTCTATTAGTATTATTTATTTATTTGGTGATCAAGGGGGATATTACACACACGCACAAAAGATTACGTGTACAATACTGTAGCCGTAAAGTAAAGTTATGTAAAATATTAAGCTAGAATTATTGCCTGCAACAAATCCTTATAATAATAAATAATTCATACAAAGCTACAATTGTATAATTTTAGCAGTACATTTTAGACCTGTAAAAGATTTTTTTTTATTTTTAACTTCTTATATATTTTCTGTTATGACGAAAGATATTTTTCTTCTGATTAGAAAAATATATAGATTGTTGATATTTGGAAAAGTCGTTCCTTAATTATTTAAGTTTAGTTAATGAAATAAGAAGGAATTACTTGATGCTTTTTAACTGAATGAAGTAAAGCGACACAATATGTCACACTGAATGCCTGGCCAACTCAATCAACATCTGTTTATTTTATTACGAAGGTGGGTACGCAAATATACAAAAACAACCCAGTATATTGAGAAAATATCAATAAGACTAGAGCTCTAAAAGGAAGATTAAAAATTTCACTAGATAAACTTGAGGTATATTATGTATTAAAGATGATAGATGGAAGTGTAGCCGAGTCATTGAAACATTGTTCATAGGATTTCTAATAATAATAATAATTTGATTTAAATAATATAAATTATATAAACTTATTTTGAATTTTTCCAGGCGCTCTAGCGTAATTTGGATTCCATATCAGTCTAAAAAACTTAGCTTACTTAAAACAAAATAATTGAATTAAAAAAAGATTGCGCATCGACCTTTTAGAGACGCTGTTTGCAATTATATCTATATGAACGCCCAAATCTCGAATATTACAGAGAGACATTTATACATTCGCACCAACAAAAATAGGTTCACCTATTAGTCAGTAAAGTTCTTATTTCAAAAGTACAGGATGAAAAACTTATTACTCAAACGCAAAAGAGAAAATATTGAAAATTATTTTTAAATTTCTACAATGGCCGCCAGGGTGCGTAATCGCATTCTTGAACTTTAAATTCCACCTGTGGAGAAATAATATTATATTACATACAATTATATTAACACCATTTTTGAAGTTGGGATAAATTCGATTCTCTTTCGTAGAACAGTATTTGCTCTACACCTTAAGGAGCAGTAATGGAGAGTCTCCGAACATTTTCCGAAATAAATGTCAATAACTTCAGAATTTAACGGGTCATGTTAAACTTGGAGTAGGAAAAGGGCTGTTTTTAGGTCATAAAATCTGTATCTGGAAATCTTGGATTGCTTGTATCACAGAAAAGGGCGTTTTGCGACATCTTTTACTCAAAAAATGTTAAATGGATTTTTTAACATGACATTCAGCAATAAGTTATTTAACAACTTCGAAAACAAATTCAAATTGTTGTAAGTTGTTCAAGAGTAGGTATTTATCTATATAAACATAAGAAGTGGACTTCCACAAGGCTTGATTATAGCTCCCGTTCTGTCTATTATTTTTTATTATTATTATTATTATTATAAACGATCTATAATAAAAACTAAGGAAACCAAAAACTTATTTTTTCTAGATCGTAGGAATATTCTCTCACCTGTGGGGATTGCAATGCAGTTTATATCGGGCAGTCTGCCAGGAAATCTCCAGGTTCACTAATATTTTAGTTTAGTGAAAACGTACAAGTCCGCGTTTGCTACTAAGTGTTTGTGCACGAGGCATAACTTATCTCCTAATAAAAATGTCAATATGAATGCCAAAAGAGAGAAAATTTGATCTTCTGGAGAAATTATAAATCAAAAAAGCCAAAAAGAGTCCTGTCCTTGATTGCGTTCATGACGTTTTCAATTTGTTATTTCACATTTTATAAACAATAATTTTTGAGATATCTAGCACTCTAAGGAAAACCGCCGTTTTAACGACTTTTAAGTTTGACAAAATTCGTTCAGCTATTCTGAATTTATTGACATTTATGTCCGAAAGTGTTCGGACTATAATCGAAGTCATACTGAAAATACAGTGTATGGCAGGGTTGCCACCAACCACGATCATTCCCGCATGCGTTCCCCAAATTCCCAAATTCCCTGGAGTTTTCAGATGCATTTTTTTTATATGTTTACTTACTGTGTTTTATTCGCTGTAACCTTATTTGAAAAAATGGTTAAAATATCAACTTCGGTAATTAAAACTACAAAACACGATTGGTAGGGAAATAACAGTATAATAAATTTTGTTTAAGTTTGAATTTACGTTTTAATATACAAAAGAAATTGGTTCACAACTTCTAAAATAGGGAAATTTTCCTAGAAATGGCAACGCTGGTGTGGGTAGTAAATGGGCGGCACAGCGTTGCATATTAAATGGTTTACTCATACCAAGATATAAATTACACGATTTAAATTTGTTTGAAAAAATAGGGAATAAAAGCTGAATAGTATCAGTGTTTAAAGGATGGATCTGCTTAATGACCGATTTTATATTCGGTTTCTCACGATTAACCTGGATGTCAAGAAATTTAAACAAGGGCAAGTAAGTACTCCATGTGAGTGCGAAAAATCTGATTTTCAATATCCTTCGCTATTTGGTGAATGAAAAGTTGAGTTTAAGTGCAATAGTGAGTGGCGCTTCAAAACTTAGTTATGATCTTACCGGATTTATTGTCCCTCATTATTCTTTTATGGCGGATTAAAGGGCAAAGAATGACCATTTAAGGACAACGTAATTACAACATATGTGGTGAGCTTTTGCTTACTTGATCGATGGACATTTTAATTATAATTATATAATATATTTCTTTATAATGTATTTACCAATAACGATTAAAGCGATAATGCCAAACAGTAAAAGAATTTTTTGGTTCATTCTGTAGTCTCTTTGCGTACCTAATGAGGTTTTATCATACCTTTCCGAAATAGTTTTTGAGTGAAACTCGGGATAGGCATAGATAAAAAACAAATAAACTTAATTGGGCACTTTTTAAATATTATCTCCGTAATTAGACCCTATTAATCATGTTGATGTCAAGTCGGTGAGCATACGCAACCGGCACCTTCGAAACATATAAGCGTATTAATTTAAATATAGGGTGTTTACAAAAATGGCGGCAACCATCGACCTTCTTCATTTAAGTAAAAAAAGAAAAAAAAGCAATATAAACGTAAAATATATAAATATTCGTTGATACTAATAAACTAAGCAAAACGTATTTTTATGGGTATTGATTTTTTTAATCTTTTGACCCTTTGGGCCCTTTTATACACAAGTTTGCTCTGATCAACGTGATATGATCAATGCGTCTTTTTGAACACTTAACATATTTTCTATCCGAGATAATTTCGTATTAAGAATTCTTCGCGAAAGAGTGACTTGCCATTAATTAGGAAGAAAAAAAGGGAATGTTTAATGAGCAACGAGCGTTGTTGTAGCCCCTGGCGACCGTTGTTCTTTAACTTAGCGACTTATTATTATTCGCCGCCAGTTTTTTCTTTGCTTTTTTTATGACGCAAGCGGTATACGACCCGCAACCATTACAACTGAAAAGATGCTGCGCAAAATGGCGATTATACTATGTTTCTTAATGCGAGAGAGTAATAAATGACGGGGATCATTAAACAGCACCCAACACACCTCGAATCGTTTAGACAAGGAAAGTCATGTGACAGCGGCGTCACAGAGAGTATATTAGAAAAATAATTATAATAATAATTATACCAGCTTAAATCTAATTATGAAAATAGATAAATCTTGATAAACAGTATTATTTATAAAAAAATCTAACATATACAATACAATTTCATTTGTAAATTTTAATGACCATGTTCCGAGTAGTCAGATGAACTATAGTATATGGAGTCCAAAGAAATAGAATCGGGCTCTATAGTGTTTCCACATCCCTCCGTCTTTTTAATAACATATTTAACCCACATTCCCTCTGACAACAACGGATCATTTTCAAAGTGATGTGGCTTACTGCTAATTTAATGCACTACGATATGGCGGAAGGCCACACAGTTATTTTTCCTATTTTCTATTCAGATTTACAATTTCCATTAACTACTTTTTTAGCTTGTCTTTATAAAATTCGTTTTTATTTAAAGGAAGCGAATGAATGATGTCCTTTTCTTGCCAAGAATGCGTGGTAATTTTGTTGGATTTTGTTGTTTTATTAGTTCTTCGCAGTTCTCGACTTTTGCCTGATAACAAACATATAGGAAGAAATCGCTATGAAAATTTGTTGATTCCCTTACTAAGAACAACCCTTCTCGATCGCAGCAATGTCTATGCTTCTTCTCTGGATATCTTTCCCAGTTAACATATTTCGAATTGTTCCGTGCTAATAATTTTATTTTTTAAGATCGGAGATTGAAGTAGATTTTTTTCAATGGTGCATTTATTCCAGTGGATCATCTTTGCAGGAAGACTTGCCTCGTGTTTTTTAAATTTATATCGTGCCACGTTTCCACAACATTATATCCTTTATTTGCCTAAGTTTTTCCTGTTATTTCTTCCAATGAATGAGATCATCCTTTTTTCCTTCCAGACATTATTTTGTCCAACGTAGGAATTTATTTATTAAAGTAAAACGATTGCATTATTTTTCAGTGGCAGTCTTTTCCTCCTCATTTATTACAATTAACAGCGAGAATATAAATTTTCTCATTGTTC